ATACTTCGCAAAAATTAAATTTGACAAATAAATTTAAGTACATAAAATTTCAAATCGTGCTAAATGGAATAAAATCGTGTAAAAAATTGAAAATATTCAATTTTCAAACCGTGTTATATCAAAACCGTGTACAAAAAGACTTAGGTGTATATTAATAATGCACGAGCCAGAAAATATTCCACTAAAATATATACAGACTGCTTTATAAATGATATTGAATAACAAAGTGACAAGTTCTCAAGGCACTTTCAAACTAATTTTCATTTATTAATTTCATTTAATATGAAAAACAAGCATTAAATACATAATTAATAAGAAATATTATTGTTACAAACATAAAAAGTAGCATGTAACACAAAATCGGTCAATAATTGTAAACTCCTTTCAGAACATAAATTAAAAGTAATATCTTTTTATGAATTTCTATTGAAATTAAAGTTTAAACTGCTTTAAATTCAAAATTAAGAAAAACTTAATATATATATATATATATATATATATATAGAAAACACTATAGGTGCAACAGATATAGTACGATAAATACCTGTATATAATTCTAAAAAAATATTCTTTGACTCGCTATGTATAAAACATGCTTTGCACTTACATTGTTAAATATCCTATGCAGCAGCTCCCAAAACATTGGGTCATTACTGGAACCACCTCTGGAGCATCTGCCAGAAATCTCAAGTACTCGACACAATACCACTACTTTAGAACCACTACATAACTTTGTCTTTTACAAGTCTATTTGACATTTTACAATTGTCCGAGTAAATTCTCTACGAAACACAAAAGACACGACTTACATTAGAGACTTTTGTGAACTTAAAATTGAATGAATAGATATGTGGAAATGTGCTACCACAACCTACAAAAGTATACACATTCAGATATAAATTATACAATTGCTAATTGCATATATATATAGATAAAGGATACATCAGCACTGAAAGTAAAAGGTTTAATTATAATATTGATTCGAAATGGGGGTCCTGAAAGAGATAATTATTACTATTCAAGGAACACCTATGCATTTCCACACATATCCATTTTTTTTAACTTTTTACAAATGTTGCACGATATATTTTTTATGTCAGATTGATCTACAGATTTAATTAAACGATTTTATGCACAATTTAATTAAAACTAATCAAGGATTTAATTAAAAACTCTTAATTAACGCGAGATTGTTCATTCACAAAAATCTCTTGACATTTGAAGCAATTGAAGTTAGCTAATTGACTGCTGCCCCAATCTTGTACAATTTAAAGCGCGAAATTCAAACAGGAAATTTAATCTACAAAAATTATGAAGTATATTTGTTCAAAGTTAATAAATTTGCTTGGAAATATATTTTTTTCCGGTTAAAATTGTTTATTATTTTAGCTCATTAATAAATATTGATTTCAATTTCATACTTAAAACTAGCTGAAAATATAAATTATATACCATAAGCTTTTATAATACAATAATAATTTATGCAGTTATTGAAGACTCAAATACAATTTTAATTGCCAGAACATAATTATTACTAATTAAATTAAATAAACATTAACTTGATTACTATCAATTACATTTTAAATCTAAATAAATAAATGGACATATATTGCATTGCATAGCACATCATTCTATAAAGACCATGTGCATGAAGTACTTGACTTGATTTAATAAAAAGACAATACAAAGAATATCATATGTAACTAAAGCTAGTTTTTAAACATTTACACTGTCGTTTCACTTTTTCTCAAAGATACAAAGGCAACTTGCATTTTACATCATTATAATATTCATTCCCAGATGTTTCATCTTCCTTATTACTTATTCAAGAAGTCGACAGATTGTTTCAAATCTATATCATCAATAGGTGTGAAACTGTAACTATGGAACTGTAAAAGGTCCAGTTAAAGGTACTCCTAAAGTCTGCGTTGGAAGTGGTTCACTGCAAGGATTGAACTTAAGATACTCAGGATAATTGATAAACAAGAATGATGTTCAGGGTAAAAAACTTGAAACCTCCTATAATGAAAAAAATGACTTGTAATAATAAAATAATAATTTGTATTAGTACTAAGAATATTATTGCTGGCACAGACAACTTTAATTTGCCTTAAAGTTTATTTATCAAAATATAATTGAAATGTATTTAATACTTATTTTATATCATTATATTGTTCATGCTCAGATATTTCATCTTCCTTAATTGTGCTTCGGTGGTTAGTTCCAGTTAAAGGTACTCCTATAGGCTGCATTGGAGGCGATCCATCGTAAGTTCTGGATAGACACATCGTTCTGGATTCTTGGAATTTCCTATAATGAAAATATTTAGGTTGTAATAATGAATAATGATATGTTATATTACTAGCAAAATTAATTAAATAATAAACTATATCATATAATTAAGTATCATCATATGAAAGTAATAGTCAAACCATTCTTATTCTTGGCGGTAAAGTTCTTATAAATTACTTTATTATTATAAAAAATTATATTAATTCTGATCATTCAGTATCAAATTACTTAAATGCTTGTAATTATACTATTTTAAAATATTAATATTTAAAGAATATATTTATTTTTATAATGTTAATTGAGTAAAATATTAAATATTTTACATTTGCTTTTTGTTTATGAAGTTACATCTACTTTCCTTTCTTAGTTTTGCGATTTATCTATTGTATTTGTAGGTATCATAAGGAAAAATATATGGTTACTATCTGGTCTTTCATCTGCATGTGATGAAAAATGTTTATATAAACAAATCACGCCTCCACAAGATATATAATTCTATATATTCTTATAATATAATTCTTCATTCTCATTTTGTAGTATATGCACAAAATTATAGTTACCTATATTTATATTTTTAAAGATTTCAGCATTTGGAAATAAGCATAAATGCATTCTTCTATTAATATATGCATCAGAACTTGTATCATTATCTCTGAAGTACAGGGACAATCCTGTTACCATCCCGAACAATTATTTTTCTCCAAAGTATGTATACTTGCAACAGTGAAAAAATCCATAACACTATAAAATAGAAATTCAGTGAGATTATTGTTAATAATTAAATATTTGTTTGTGAAACATACATATTATATGCACTATATAAAGTTCTTATTATTTTTAAATTCAATTCATTCTAAAAGTATTGTAATAGTAGAAACATGTATGCATATTATTCGAAGCACATAAATATCAATTATCAATTCATTGACAATTAATTAAAACTCCATTATGCGTTTGCTTCAAAGTGCTTGATGGGAGAAAGATTAATTTTTCATTATAAAAGGAATTGTAAGTATAAATCGGATTCAATAAAGAATTTATCTATAGTATCACTTATAGTGAATTCATTCATTTCATTTGATTCAACTACATTGAGCAAAAGGTACTTTTGTACAGAATTGTGTTTCTTCATAAACTATATGCATTTCTCAATAATTTTTAATTCATTTCATTTAAAAATATTGATGTTTTATGTAACTACAACTGATGTTTAATATACTGACATTATTACTACTTTGATTTATCACTTTATTCTATTCTATTATCACATGAATTGACAAATTCATCGGAATTGTAGTTCGATATTTAAGTTTTCATATGAATAAAATTAAACCTCTTAAAACTATATATATAATAGTATATAAAATGTCGCAAAACTTACTCGATCTTCTATTCATCATCTCTGTTTTTCTGTGTAATGTATATTTCTGGGAAGACAGTTAAATACAACAAATGGTATGCCTCTACATAAATTCTAATAATGTACAATTCAATATATACATTTATATATCCATTTCCCATATAAAATAAGGCAGCTAGGCCATATATAGTCATGTATAAATCAATATATACATTTATATATTCAATTTCCATACAAACTAAGTCAGCTTATTCATATATAATGATGGAAAAAACATTGTATAAATCCGTGGTTAGTAGTCCATGGATTCCAACTGGATATGAACTGTCAAACGTTTGACGTTAGTTCCTCACGATCTGGGAACAATTTTGCATAGAGGCGCTGCAAGCAATCACCGCAGGAGCTCAGAAATCTTATTGGATTCCTATTCAACGCAAGAACTGTCAAACGTTTGACGTTAGTTCCTCCCAAAGTGGGAACGATTCTGCATAGAGGCGCTGCATGCAATCGCCTCTATGAATCTAGAAATCTTATTGGATTCCTTTATACGCTTTTATATATAATTATGGTTCTGGCTTAGGAGAAATATCAATATGTACATTTATATTATATATTATATATACATTATATATCGCTTTATACTCTACTTGATATATAATTATGGTCACGGTTTTATGCTCGCGTTAATTAAGACTTTTTAATTAAATCTTTGATTGGATTCTGTTAATTTGTTCATCAACTCATTTAATTAATTTAGTAGATAATAATGATATAGGAAATTCATCGCAAAATGTTCATAAAGAGTAAAAAAAATTGGGTGTGTTGTGGAAGTGCCTCGGTGTACCTTGTATAGTTTGATAAGTATCTCTTTCAGGGTCTCCATTTGGAATCAATTTTATAATTAAACAATTTATTTACAGCGCCAATGTATCCTTCAATTATATACATACAATTATCAATACTCCTCTTTTATCTATGTGTGGCCACTTGTACAATTTAAAGCGCAAAATTCAAATAGAAATTTAAAACATTGTGAAATTCACCTATTTGAATATTACGGTAGAAGGCAATGTGTATAGTCTTTGGATATGTGATATGAATATATACTGTAAAAAAAGCAAAGTCTTTATATATGTGATAGATAAATTTTTATATAAAAAATTGTAGATTTGAAATATGGTTTATTTATTAAAAATAGGAGCATTATTTAATCCATTACATGAATTAAATTTAAATGATAAACAATGTTTCAAATAATGATATTGTTATAAAAATATAAATAAAATTATTATTGACGTTTTTCAGTACACAATATTAAAGAATCTTAATTTCTAATTTCTATTCACAATATAAAACTATTTAATGATAAATATTTTTCATCATTATCATTCCTTTTCAGTTTTACATTTTATAACCTCCGTAGATTCTTCTGGTGTAGATGCAGGATTTTCAGATATTTCCATATTTTCAAACGCCTCAGTACTGGAGGTTCTTCTGGATTCTGGTGAAACAGTTTCTGTTTTTATATGAACTGTTGGAATATTTTCAGTGCTTTCTGTACCTTCATCCTCATTTGTTTCACACATTTTATTTGCTGATGTGTCTTCAGAATCTTCTACAACTCGTGCAGTATTTTCACTAACTTCCATATTTGATACATTATCTTCAGGAATTGGTACATCTTGTGAAATACTTTCTGATTCCTCTGAATCTTCTGTTGGTTCCATATTGTTTTCTAAGTCTTTTGTATTTTCTGAATCAGTTTTTGTATTTGTACTTATTTGTTCAGTTTGTGGTTGATTATTTTGTTCCTCATCCTCACTGTCGGAGTCTCTATCACCACTAGGATGAGCTGCTGCTGGTTTCTCTGGTGCATTTGTTGGAACATCACCTGGTTTACTCCAAGATTTAGGCTGAACCTGAAACATTGAATCATTGAATCCCTTATCCTTAATTTGGATCAGTACATTAGTGCATTGGATTAACTCAATTATCTTACCATTCCTTTTTGCATTGCCTTTATAGTCTCCATGTAATACTGATAAACATATTTAGCCATTTCAGGCATGTCTTTCATGATAAGAGGTGGATGCTGTGGTTGTTGCTCTGCTCGTCGTTCTGTAGGGAACACCTCTCCTTGAGCCAAATGCAGTTCATATGGCCTTTGAGCCAACTGAAAATAAAATACCAAAATGTCAGTTAATGATCAAACATGTTTTTGAAACAGGTGATTAAAAGTCTAAATTTTACCTGATTAAATGTAGGTTGAAGTTCAAAACAGTTTTGGAATAAAGAAGCTCTTGCAAATACATATAATCCTAGCCGTGCTCTGGACATTGCCACAATAAGACGTCTGACATCTCTTAAATGACCCACGGCTCTTGTACGTACCAAAGAAACTAATACATAATCATTCTGCTGACCCTGGTACTTGTCAACAGTTGTAACCTGAAAAGAATATTAATGTCAAAGAAGATTCATAATATACAAGATATTACAAGAAGTTTATGGCTGAAAACTTTGTATAGAATATTTAAAGAATACATTTTAATAATACCTTATGTGGTCGGCCAATTAGTGGATTATCTGTGCATCTCATATTAATCACATCTCGAATCAAATGCTTTTGGCCATTATAAGTTGTGAGAATTGATATTTTTTCTGCTGGATACCCTAACAATCTCATATACATAAACACTGCAACAACATATTCAGCTTCTGCCAAATTCTGTAAAATAATGTAATGCAAATATATTATTAAGAATGCTATATTCAATGCTATATTCAATAATGCTAATTTAAATATAATTTACAAAACAACTTGCCTGATAAAAGTATGGACTAGGTTCAGATTCACCGACACCATTGAAATCTTCCACATTTATTAATTGGTACTCATAACAAAAACCAGCATTGGCAGTTTTATAAATAGGCCAATTTTCAACATGAGACAAATTTCCTAAAGTCTTGTAGCGCCAGTTATACAAGTTGCAAATTCTGAAATATATTAAATTATTTTAAAGTATTACAAACATGATTTATAAAAAAGCACAGTTTTTTTATCTAATAATTACCCTGGCCTGGAACGTCCCTGCCCATCTAAATCAACAGTAGGAACACCCAGTCTAACAATTCTTGTGAATAAACTTTGTTCCATGTTGCTATATTTTTGAAAAGCCATATTTTTGATAACTGGTGGCAATTGATGATGATCTCCAATCATAATCCAACGCTTCAGTCTGCTGTGTCCATCTTGAGGATTTTGCAATAACAGAGGGATGAATGTTTCAATTTCCAGAATTTGCGCCGATTCTTCCATTAGGATGTTGTCATATTTAAAACCTATGGAAATTAATAAAAAAAAATTAGTAAGCAGAGAAATATTATTATCAAAGTGAATAAATAAATTATTATTTACCCATGTTAACTAACTCTTTCCTCTTGAGAGCTGCATGAGTACAGGTCATGGCGATAACTTTAGCTTCTTTGACTAATAAATATTTTGTTCTATCCAGACCTGATCTGAGTAATTCAAAAGCACGAAATTCTTCTAATTCAGTGAATAATCTTGTTATATATCTAAAATTAAAAGTTAAATTTATTGGTAACAATAGTCAAGTTGATTAAATTTTTAAATCAAAATTATTACCTAAAACATCCTTGAGCAATTTCCATATCCTGATCAAAAGATTGTTTCTTAAATAACGGCTGTGGGGCTTTCTCAAAAAATTTGTGGAAAGGAAATTCATCATTTATAATATCAAGGTTTTGGTTTTGCTTTGAATTCTTCTGCACCTCATTTAGAAATTTTTCCCACCTTGCTAAAACCTGAAATTTTAGTAAATTAGTAATAAATTGAAATACTTTTCAATAAAAAAAATATAAAAATTGTATAAATACCTGATAAAGGTAGAAATAACCAGCAGTTTCACAAGTATATGCAACATCACCGGAAACATCTAAAGAATCTTGTAATCGTTGAACTTCAGTCAAAAGATCTAAACGTTTTGCCAAAACGTAATTAACTCGACCATATCTATAATAAAATAAGTTTGAATTTGTATTAGTAAACATCAGTGAATGAAATAGAAGTATTTATTTAGTGTACCTGCTGTAATCTTTCTCGGTTTCCAGAGCTTCTTCACCATGACCAAGACGCAATAAATGACGTTCGTCTATATCCAATGCCATAATTTTTTCAAAAAGCTGATTCAAAGCCTGATTAGAATGCGTTACAATAAGCGTTCTCTGTGTAGGGAAATTGTGATACAAATTTGATATGATCTGGACAGCCACGTCAGTTTTACCCGTACCTAAGTAAAAAATCATTTGCTCCTATTAAAATTTAAGAAAAAATTATATTATTTATTATTATATCTAATTATTCACCTGGCGGACCAACAACCATTGTTAAACCTGGCTGCATTCCTGATCTGATCGCTTCAATTTGCGTTGGTGTAAACGGTATAGCGTTCCTGAAATAAACATAGCATTAATTAATATGAAAACATGGACTGATTATAAATAAATATCACTTTAATTCTTGCTTACTTTTTAGGTTCATTAAAATGATAAGGACCTCTGCTTGGTTGAACATGAGGCTCAACAGTTATAACTTCTCTTTCCTGTTTACCATTGGGTTCCGGCATGTCCTCATCATCTTGCTGCTTTTTCAAAACGTTTTCAAATGTTAATCTAAAACAGAAGATTAAAGCTCACAACAAATTCTAGCTTAAATTACCAAATGCAATTATTTTGTACCTGAAAGGTCTAACAAGTTTTCGTGGATCATCAGTCTTCACCCTGATTTCCGCATTAGGAAAACTGGCCCTTAAATGATCCATATCCAAAAATGTATCATTAAAATCCATACAAGCTATTTCATTAGGCATCCTGGAATAATGTGCTGAACCTGGGTCACCGTAGCCAAGTAAGATGTCGTGCAGCCATTCAGGAACTACACATTCAGTATTCATTAGCTCCCGAATTGTTTCCAAAACAGCTTTGAAATTATTTTCTTTGGGTTTACGCCGGAGTAAAATATTGAAACTTTCATAGACATCCTATTATACAAAAATTAATAAATTAAATATTGGTTTGATACTTAAAAAAATAATTATGATTGATATAAACGTACATCTTCACCGTGGCTCAAAGCATCCATATCTCTTCGATATTGATTGCAATCTAACCAGACTCGGAATACACGCTCATCACCAGGAAGTTCTGGTTTAGGATCAACACCATCTTCTATAACACGACCATTAGCATCTAGCAAACCCTCTATTTCACAACCTCGTACTCTATGAAGACCAACTTGAGGGATAAATGGTTCTTTGTGCTGGTAACGCGTTCCTAAAAATATGTACATTTAAGCATGCACTCTCTCCAATACTATTCATCTTTTATCATACCAATAGGACAAGTGGGTTTTATTGAGATCAAAAAGCAGACATCGTGCTTTCGTAAATTTTCCCACTCGCTCCTGACATCATTCCTGGTTGGTAATACAATAGCAACATCTGCTCGAACTCTGGATGGTCTTTTTTCGCCAATACTTGGTTTGGCAACTTCAACAACTGCAAATTTTGTTATAGGTTGAGCCATGCGCGCCCAACCTCCAAACACCACACCACCGTCTTCGGCTTTCCTGGTAGAATATTTTCAACGTTAAATAAATTGACCAAAAATCAATATCTTGTACTAAAAACAATATAAGTAATTTTATATAATTGCATAAGTATAAAGTCAAAATTGTATCTGATTGCAAGAAAAGGTAAAGCTGGCAGTGTCGTTGCAGCACTTTCTCAAAACAATAAACGAAATTGAAATAAAAAGCAGCAGGATAAAAAACTTGCAAAAAATGCAAAAAGTGCATTTGAAATTGTTTATAAATTTTTGATTTTTCAAAAATAATTTCGATTAAATTTTTCGGTTTGTTTTTTCTGGTTTGATTTACTGTATGATGGAACATATCTAGTGTCGAAACGTATAATTTTAATTCGACGAAAGGGCTGCTATGCCAATAATTTTTTTTTTATAAATTCGTTTATAAAGGTGAAAACTTTCTTACCATGGGCTCAATCGGCTTACAGCATCTTCTATATCTTGTCTAATTTCATCTGAAAAATAAATTTACAATACAATACAATATGAAATTAAATTAGTTTAATATTGCATATATATATATATATATATATATATATATATATATATATATATACATTCACGTGTCAGAGAACAAGGAAACAAAGCAATTATCGAATTAGAAAGTAAATTATAATCAATTACTACTTATCAATCACTCTATTTTTCCAATTGAACTATTTTATATTACATAATCGATAAATTTACATACATGTAGATTCCAAACGGAACAAATCGAAGTTCCGCAGCAAATAATCATGGAGCGTCAAAAACTGCAAATTTAATTTTGGCAGGGCTAAACAACCCTCTCCTGAAAAATATTCGGAAGGCACAACGTTTTCATCCCAAATGACATCTTCAGTTGGATATAAGGGCATCTCATTCAAGGCCTCTAATTGAGATGCTCTTCTTTCATGTCGAGAGATCTGATAAAGGAAATAGAAATTTCAAAATCAAAATAAATAATAAGTTGATAAATAATTTATGAACACATATTTAAAATTAAATAGTAATTAATATCTAACAAAAATAATGAGCAAAATTATTTTCATTCTTGTATATTAATTGGAAATAGAAATTGAAAAAAAAAATAAAAAGTTGTGCTGAATAGGGTTTCAGATTTTTATTAAACGTTAATAGATTGAATAATGAGAAACAAATTTAAATCTAAATTGAATGGAGTAAGTTAAATTATTTCTAAAATATGAAAAAAAAAATGATAAAGGAAAAAATCAACAATAGAAATTGAATGTATTTGCTATAGGAAACAATAATAATAATATTAATAAATATTATTTATAATGATAATTATTACTATTTATAATAATAATAATAATTATTATATTTAATTATTATTATTAATCATATTAATAATAATTAGTATATTAAATTTGTATGAACTCAAATATTTCAATAATAATAATAATAAATCAGTATATAGTTAAAATTATATTTATTTATCAGACAAACACAACGAGTATTACAATTATCAACAAATATAACAAGTATAAGAATGTTTTTACAGAAGCAGTTATAAAACAATTAAGAATATTTACAAAAGCGACTTCGTTATCACAAATTTCAGTTTTAGCCTGATTACATACAAAATATAATATATTTACAAAATATTTCATTTAGGAAAATCAGTGTTGGCTAATTTTCCATGGTTGCTTTTCACTCTTGAAGTGAATGTATGTAACCAAGTAAGTCTTTTCTTAAGATTCTTCACTTTATTCCCATCCGTGTTTCTTCGACTCGTGGACGATGGTTTTGTAGATGGGTACCTTGACTGGTACTGGGACTGGTACGTGGTATGGTACATGTTTCTCTACTGGTACTGGAATGTGCTTCTCAACTGGATAAGGAATCTTCTTCTCTACTGGGTAAGGTACAATCTTCTCAACGGGAACTGTGATTATTTTCTCCACTGGAACAGCAACAGCTTGGGAAACTGGCACGTGGATTGGGTAAGGCTGAGGAACTGGTACTAAAACTGGATGAGGAATCTTGACTTCAACGTGTTTTGGCACTGGTACATGGACGTGCTTGTAAACTGGCACGGCTACTGGTTTTGTGATTTCAATATGTTGGCTCACAGGAATAGCATGGGACTCGTGGATGGAACCACCATAGTCACCACCGCCACCGCCTCCGTGTCCTCCGAAGTCACCACCGCCTCCTCCGCTGCTGAAATCGCCTCCATGGCTGTATCCTGCTTCTACACACCAAATAGCACAGACCAAAACTGCTAAAGCACTAGCAAAAGCACGCATTTTGCTTATTTTTCAAAAACTATTAAATTTCCAATTATCCTTTGATTGTTGGTTCGATGAAAGGTGGAAGTCGAATGATGCTGTTGTCAGGACAGACCACGGTATTTATATGGTTACACATATCAGTCGCACACTTGGAAAGAGATTGTGTTTGGTGTGTTGCTTACACGAAAATACTTTCACCTTCACTCTAGGTGATTCTGCACTGGTTCATTCGTACTTGCATCAAAATGTTCAAGTTTTTTCACAGTGGTTCAATTTTTTAAGCTGGTTGGTGCATGTCTACGTAACAATAACAACTTCGTCTAGCAAGATGAGGAGTTTGATAAAAAAAATTCGAAAACTAATTAAAGAATTATTCATATAAATAAACAGAAAGTTTTTGGATAAATATTAAAACCAGTCATTCGGTAGATTAAAAAATAAGTAGACAAATACAACAAACATGAAGCCTAAATTTTAAAAATATTTACAAGGACATTTTTATTGGCAGCATTAAAAATATCATAGACCAGACTTTATAAAGTAATGTAGAAGCCCATTCCAACATAAAACTGACTTAAAATGAAAAAAATATTATATATAATTATTAGCAGGTTAGGAATATCGCTTAAATTTAAATAAATGACAAACAAAAATGAAATATTAGAAATAAATGAAGATAGATTTAAAATAATTTGTAGGGTAAGAAAAACCTTATTTTTCTTTCAATGAAAGCTAGGATGTTAGCCAAAGCATATGAATATCAAATAAATGGCTCATACAATTTTTAATGATATAACGATCATTAAACCCTAACTCATATACCTATAATGCCTATAATGTATCAACACCTCAAGGTTTCATATAATTTTATTTATATAAAACTTCAATGTAGAAAATTACAATTTCTGGACATTTTCATTGGTAATATAATAATAATGGGTAATACTGCCCTAAGGCAGGTCTGTGAGCTGAGTTAAAGTCCAACTCAATTCAGGGAAGAAGTAGTGAGAGTTTTTTTTTAATTTTGATTTATATTATTAATTGAAAATGGACATCGCGCTGCCCGATGTCAAATTGCCAGAGCGGAGAATCGATTGGTAATATATGAGGTATTTTATAGTATAGTAATTTACAAGACTATCAAAAATAAAAATGACTTCTTGTAAAAAATATATGTTTTATCTGTTTATACAAAGTGTAAAAGAATTATCCATACATCTAAATTTAATTTGAGAAACTTAAGACAAGACAACAAATTGCAAATAATCTATAATATAAAAATGAATCGCAAAATGTGTTTGTAAGCGCTTAACTCAACAACGCCTCGACCAATTTGGCCAATTCTTTTTATAAAATGTTCGTTGAAGTCCAAGGATGGTTTTTATGGCAAGAAAACATCATATAATTGCCGAGAAAACCCTAAAAACAGCTCTTTTCTTTTTCACATACAAACATTAGTATTTTCATATTTTTGCCATCGGATACGAAATATTTACTCAAGTCAATGAAGAGTTTTGGGTCTGAATTCTTTTACTGTGCTCCAATTCGTATGAAATTTTGATATTAGGTTTATCTTACTCTCAAATTCAAAAGTGAAAATAATTTAGACTCCTTTGCCATATACCGGGGGGATGACATCCCTCTCAGTGATGTAATTTCATTTTTTTCGACAAAAGTAAGTAATAAGAAAAAAATGTTTTATAATGTTTTTCAAAAAAAGCAAATACTCATCATTTTATTTAAAGCATTTAAGATCCATATGGGTGGATGTATATACATTTCGGTATAGACTGTAGTGTAAAAAAACATAATAATTTGTAACTAATTGGTAAAGTATAGGTCAGTATAGGTTATTAAAAAAATTGGAACTTCTGAATTGTAAGCATAAGTACAGGATAACGTCTGTCAGGTCATCTAGTTTAATATTCATTTAAGTCTCTTCTTTTGATTTTCGAGCAATCATTTGCTTTCCCATAATATTACAAAGGTTCGGTCGAAGTAAAACAAATCAATGCACTTACGAATGTCTGATCAGTAGATAAGCGTCCATTAATTAATTGTAAAACTGTCTAAAAATAAAAGTAATGCACATTTGCATTTATTTGCATGCAGTCATATCCGATCACGTTCACGCCAGTTGTAAATAGGAACGTTTTATTATTAAAATTATTTAATACGAGAGCACTTACATCGGACGGAAGTCGCCGCCGATAGAGAGAAGAAAGTTGGTGGCTCGAATAATCCAAATAAAAGACCACCAGAGCATTATAAGCGTTAGGTAAGGCTAGTTTTTTGCTTTCGACTATATATAATTCGCGTATATCTTAAGGTCATTGCTTTATTACATTCACATGAAACGACGATTTACTTTCGAAGACTATTGCAAAAAAAAACAGAATCATACACGAACAAAATTATTTATCTATCTGCATTGCGTATGTGTATGCGACTTATAATAAGAGATCTGGTGAAAATACTGTTTTACCAAAAGGTAAGGGGGAGTCCATTAATCACGTGAGCGAGTTTTTAAGGATTTTTGGACACCCCTCCACCTTGGTGATACATGGTGATAATCAAAATTAAAAAAACTAGAAAATGAGCCTACCCCAGGGCTTCTTAAACCATGGGTCGAGAAAAATTTCTGGAGTCGCGAGGGATTTTAATGTCAAATATTTATATCAATTTATCTTGATTTTTGTATGTTCTCAATGAATTCTTAAACTATTTATTTTCATCTGTATATGTATGTGTATATGATAACATTTGTGCGTTTTCTGGTTGAGGTTTTCTATCTAACCCCTAACTGCACAACAACCGCATAGTATTTTGACAGTTTTCAGTAGCACTTTATATGAAAAACACTACCTAACATAGCCTTGCCATAACATTGGCTTATTTTACGACAGAACAGACCCGTAAAAAGCACATTTTTAAAAATAATATATAAAAAATATATGACGATTTAGTCATATCAAACATGCAAAGAAAAAATTGTGAACTTAATAATAAGAATTTTAAAATTCTTAATTATTTGAACAGAAATGAAAACTATATGTTATATGAGCTCTTGTGGAGTGAATCCTAAACCTGGTATTATTATAATGCAGCCCAGTGGTTGACTATTTGAGATAGTCTATCTCTACCTAATGAGATCCTTGATCTATAATTGCAAATAAAAATCTAATATCCAGCTTGTTGGTGGTGGGTATCGAACCCATATTGGTGAAAGCAATTTCTCACGACAAAGCCAGGAGATTTTGTATTTTAAACTCCAATTTTAAATTAGTTGTAGCGAGTCTACCTAATGAGTTCCTTGATCTATAATTGGAAATGGAAATTTAGTATCCAGCTTGTTGGTGGTAGGTATCGAAACCAGAAATTGGTTAAACCAATTTTTCACCATGAATGCAGAGAACTTATATTTTGAACTCCAATTTTAAATTAGTTCCAGCAAGCCTACCTAATGAGATCTTTGATCTATAATTGCAAATGGGAATCTAATATCCAGCTTGTTGGTGCTGGGTATCGAACCCAGATTGGTAAAAGCAATTTCTCACCACAAAGCCAAGGGATTTATATTAGAAACAGTAATTTTAAAATATTTGTAGCAATTGCCTCTTTTGTGTTCTAGAAGAACATTTGATTAGAAATACATACGCAACCAAAAGTGGATAAAAAATACTTTAACCAATTAAGATCGTTATATATATATATTAAAATCATTTATTTAATAGATAAAGAATTAATGAGTAAAATTAATACAAGCTCCCATTAAAAATCTTAACGCAGTACGGACGTGGGATCCGCTGTTGTTTGTTTTATATAATTGTGGTTAATCCGATTTTATGTAAGTATGAATTATTTATTTAATTATTAATTTTCAAGATAAGGCAGATAAATAAATAGATTATTCATAATTTTAAACATTCTGAAAAAAAATATTTAAACTACTCTTCAAACTTATAAACGAATCGTAAAACGAATAAATACCTACTGTAGTTTAATGTGACTTGTATGAGACATTGTAAAAAAAAAATAAAAATACCTAAAGCTTTATATATTTAAAAAATTACCAAGTGGATTAATATCTACACCTCTCTGTTAAATGATGTTCAATATTTTTGTTATAAATATTTTTTTAAGAATGCAGTTAGAGTGGCTAAGAAATTTGCGAATAATCTCTAAACTTCCCAAACTTAGAAATCGACATAGAAACATTGTTAATAAAAATGGTATTCCAAGAATAAGTAGAATATTTGCAAAAAATAATTTATGGATATATCATTTGTTGCATTCTAAATAATTCTAGAATATTTTAATAAAAGCTTGATACATTCACTCATGGCCAATGTTATTAAATATTCTGTCACATTAGCTAACACAGATATATATATATATATATATATATATATGTATATATATATATATATAATACATAAAAATGAATATTATATTGCATGTACACAAACAAATAAGACCAAAAATTGATATAGATATATTTGTGTAGGAAGAAAGTAGTTTGCAGTCTAGTTAATATGTATATATACTCTAGAATAATTGTACATTCTCTTCAAATAAATTTACGCATTCATAGATATCAGACCGATGGATAGGTACAGAAAATAAGAAATTGAAATTTTATTCAATTAAATATTATGTGATGAAAAATATATTAAGAACAAGTGTTTGAAAATATTAAATTTGTCACTTAAAAGAGGGCAAATGTAATACTAATTAATCGTGGATTTGGATCTCAAGATATGTGAAATAAAAAATGAGAAAAAAGTTCATAAGGGGGCGTCCTTTAATCACGTGAGGTTTTTAGGGGGAAGGGGGGTTTGACCAAAAATCACGAAATATCACGTGGGGGAGGGAGGGGTATAGTAAGATATCACGTGCATTTTTTTAACTAATTCTTTTAAAAAAGTTCAAACATTTTCAAAAAAAATAATAAAAATTATAGTTTTTTCACGTAACTAAAAACACACGTAATGTTTGGTGATGGAGGGGGGGTAATTTTTAATATCACCAAGGGGGAGGAGGGTCCAAAAATCCTTGAAAACTCGCTCACGTGATTAATGGACGCTCCATAAGTTCATAATCACAGGAAGATATTTAATTTGGCATGGGTTGTATATTATGAAGTTACAATGATATTATTTGGATATATTCCAAAAGACGAATTTATACCTGCTCAGAATTTTCCAAAATTGCAAACGTTAAACATTATATTATTTATAATAAATTATAATTTATAATAAATTATTGCCAAGAAACTTTTATGTCGTCAATAAGTGGTAATCAATAATTAACAGTTTTCGTAATTAATTGTTAAATAAATTATTAAGTAAACTAACATTCACAGTTAATGGTAAATTTTTTTTTGTTATATCCGATAAACGAAAATATGTTATAAATATACGAGTTTATTCCTTCATGAAAGTATTTTTGAATGATTGTTAATTGATATAAATGATCCAAATGTTATTATCATTAACATTGTTATGAAATCCAAGCAAAATAAATTATTACTCCTGACGAGCAAGCAAACTCAACAAAAGAATTATATATATTATACATTCATATGATGTAGAACCTCGTTAAGACGATCATAGCAGATACTATTTCTCGCATAATACGCCGCTTTACGCCAGTTCCTGCTCTTAAAAACACATTAATCCTACATAATACCCTTTCTCGCATAAGACGCGTTCCAAAAAAATATCTTAACTGTGGATATTAAGATTATGTATTTCTTATAAGATCTTAAATTGATTCGTGAATGATTTAGGTTCAAAATTCAATAGGATGAAGTTGACTTGCTAAGTAGAGTCTATTTATTTAAGGGGGTCTTCCTATGTGACGGCCTGTTTTTTAGGGATATTTTAGAATTTTTTTTCTACGACCAGTAAATAGTTAGAGCTTCAAGTTTTTTATCATTTATTAATACATATTTGGACAGTATAAATATAAAATTTCAGCTAAAAAAATTTAGTCCAACTAGAGTTACAGCGCTCTAAACACCCCCCCCTCAAAAAAAAGAGCTCCCACTGTCTCCACGATTCCGGCTGATCGGCTTATCTGACCAAAAAAAAATAAACGGCGTTTTAATTTGTAGGCTTAAAAGCACGGAATGATCTACAATCAAATGAATACAAAAAAAATTGGATGTTTTATAGACATTTGAAATAAAAGTTGCAAATTAGGCGTTTTTTTTTTTAGTTTTTTTGCTATAAAAAATCGAAGTTTTGAAATTTTTGATTGATAATAGTTCATTCCATGCGCTTAAATATATTGAATGTGCCCTGTAAATTTCAAGTAATTCGGTCCAGCCGTTTCTGAGATACAATGGAGACAAGTTTGAAAAACACAGTTTTGAGAAAAACGCGTTTAAAGATAAAATGATCGTTGTACTATATACTATATGTATACTTTTTAAATGACTGTAACTCAAAAACTATTTGAGATATCGATTTGAAATTTTAATATGTTATTTTTAAAGGTATAATCTACTGAAATATGAAATAAAAAAAAATTAAATTTTTTCAACTCATCACATAGGAAGACCCCCTTAAGTTTTTATTGGGATTTTAAATATACGCGCACATTTATTTCTTAAAGATTAATAAAGCATACCAGTTATAAAAATAATTAATAGTTTTATTACTTTTTCGATAGAGCACGATTCCTCCATCTCATCATACAAATTCAGATACAAGTACAGGTCAATGCCTTCAAATTTCGCTACTTATCCTATTCCATATTAATTCCTCTGCACAAATTTTCATTGCCCATCTGGTCTCATTTCAATCAGATAATAAACTAATAAAGATAACGAATGGAACATACCAACAGTTCTCGAAGAAAAGTTTCTTTGGGAACAGCATCCTTCTTAGTGAGATGTAATTGAGAGGCCAAATCCCTCATCCGAGAAGCGTCCAGACTGCCGAAATGTTTGTCCAGGCTTTCCCTGGTGTCCACGCTGGCAACATTTGCTAAGGCAAAACCTCTCAATTCTGGGTAACTGGAGAATGCAGCTTTCTGAAAGGGAAAAGATAATAAAAAATTAGAAACAAAATATTTTTGGCAGTATATGATAAAGAAGCCATTGGAACTGTGACAAGAAACATCGAAGTGTTTTTGAAAATCTTAGGATACCAATTCTCCGATATCACTCTAAATTTATTTATTTATATAAATAGTCGTACATATGCCAAGCTATTTCGTTTATAAATAAAAATGAATTCCGCCTATCATAAACTTCCAAAACTATCAAATCTGAGCAATAAATCACACCTAAAATAATTTTACGAAGTGATAAATATCCCTTTATTGAAAGCTGTGTTTTATTATTGTTATTATTAATATGAACGGTTGTATTAAAATAGAATATATAAATCTAACAATTCTACTTCCTCTTCAAATTTAAAAAATCTATTTATAATGCTGAATTTATTTGGCAAGATCAAACTCTCGTGGTGTTTGCTATAAAAATATACAAGAAAACAATTGCTTCTGATTTCTAGGATCTTTGATGTAAATATATAGTGGTGTCTATTTTTATTACTATTGTGTAGTTAATTTAATATATGGTGTGATAAAAAATAAATTCGGGGATAAATATTTTTTATGAATATTTAATTAATATATACATATATAAATTGATATACAAAGAATAAGCTCTTTATGTTAATTATTTTTTATGTTAATTAATGATACTTTTTAAAATTCCATTTAACCATATAGAGATAACCTTTATTATATTATATAATTTTTCAATTCATAAGTTCAATTGTTTTTTTGACAAATTTTAAGAAATTCATTAATGCAATACATTTACTAATATAAAACCATTAATTTATTCATTTCTCCTCTAATTCATTAAATCAATTACCCAGTTCATTAAGATGCCCATAATTAGATAAGTAGATAATTTTATTAGATAGGTATTTGAAAATATCAAAAAATGTAGGAGTAAAGTTATTTATTAATAATCAGTCATTTTTTTACCTGAAGTGAAGTGATTTTTGAATAATGCAACTGTGTCATATCATGATCTGTAAGAGGATCTCCAGTTTCGTCGTTGATTTCAAACCTAGCATAAAATTTCAGCCTATCCAGCAACTGCAAAGAAAGTAAAATTATCATATAAATATCACCTATATTCCATTAAAATAGTATTTCAACTATGAGAATTTTATTTTTGTAGATTCAGAAATATTAAAAGTCCTCAGAGATAAAGCGAGATTAACCAATAATGTTACTCAAAGTAACGAGTACTCTAATATTATAATATGAAATGTTCACAGAATTAAAGACTGATTTACCAGTAATATTAACAAATGTTACTCATAGTAATGAGTACTCTAAATAAAATACAAAGGAAAAACAATCAGATGTATGCACAAGTTAATTGTTAAATAGTGAATCATAATGAGTAAATATGCTTTTCCTGGGAAAAAAAGAAACGTAAGTTTCTTGTGACGTAAATCGTAATAAAATATTATATGTATATATATATATATATATATATAAATATTATATATATATATATATATATATATATATTAGTTATATACATCTAAAACTGATTTATGTTTCTAAACAAATATTTTAAATCGATTTCCATACTTTTCAAGACCAATTTGACCCTTGTTCAGTGGATAAAACCACAAAAAATGATATAAGCAATAATATAATGTAACTTTTTTTTATAAAAAGTAAGGAAAATCTAGTGTTAAAAACTACACATATTGTATATTATAATTTAGTATATTGATTTATTTTTTACAGATCGGTCAATATACAAGATAATGCAGACTATACAAGTTTAAGTCTATAATTGAAAGGAATAGAAAGCTGGTCATTTAAATATTTTTATTTGAAATGAAATCAAAATAGTTTATTTATTTTTTTATACAGGAAGTAAAGAAATGGCTATAAATATAACTATTGAGTTATTTTAACTACAAATTCTCATCTAATGCATTTAGTATTTATTTTTAATTGTATAAATAGCGACTAAAGCACACAAATCTTTTTTATAAGTATATAAATATACTTAGTTTGGCTTTATGTTCTTTATTAATTTAACAAATAGAAACCCAAAAAAGACTTTGAAAAATATTGTAAGTGTTCAAATAAAATTATCATATAACACCTTGGAAATTTATAAAATGAAAGATAAAAATACCTTGCAAAGCAGCAACAAATAAACAGTAGTAATTGGGAACAATTAATAATAATAATTATAATTATAAGGAATAGTGCTAAAATAAATGTTCCAAAACATTTTTTGCTCTTCCAATATAATTATTTATTATTAGTTTATAATATAAAATGATTAAAATTCAGAGTCTTCGTTAGTTAGTTAATACAAAATTCTATGAATGCATCGAAGATATTTCAAACAATAGTATAAACAAATATTAGTAATAACAGAACAATGCAGATAAATTTGAGGTCAAATTTTAAATTCGCGAAGACGTTATTATCTGACAATTAGTATTTAAAATGCATACGAATTCCTTGACATGACCTAATCAACTGTGAAAACAAGATCTAATTTATTCATGCACACCTTCTGAATTAACATTTTAGTTTTGAGAAAACAATATATATATATATATATATATATAATTAAATTAGCAATTAAGTAATAAAAATAGGAGTAGGACAAAGCGGTGCAAAATGATGATCTACCAGCAGATCAAGATAAAAGCTGGCAATTTTAGATTAGAATAAGGAATTAAAATAATAAAAAATAGTAAAAAAAAATTCTGCATAAAATTCTCAAATATAAAAAATATCTAACAGCTATTAAACAATTAGCCAAACTAATTTAAAATTAAACTTTTGAAGTTTTAGCTTCAATGAGCAAAGGCAATATTTCAAGCGCATAAGCCGCCATAGTATTTTCAGAAACATTTCAAAATAGATTAACATAAATTTTGTCACAAGAAGCTGTAACATATATTAAATTGTGGTCACCTGGGATTATAAAACTAATATTTCACATTATTTTTTCTATTCAAATTTGTTTTTTAGAATATAGATGAATTTTACTGACAATTTGGAGGTTAGGATTTAGCATCTAGGTCCTATTGGTCATGAGATTAATCAACATTAGATAACTGTAACATAACATAGCTATTGTATCCGAGAATTGGCCCCATAGTTTCAGAATATGTTTACAGAACTTTTAACATAGATGGATATATTTGTGGAGATCTAATTAAATCTTGATGTGACTAATGAAACAGTTTGATATCTTTTCGTATTCTATCTTCATGCTGGTGATTTCTATTTTATATTAGCAACAAACAATATCTTGGTTATGTATCATATTTGAGATCAATTATCTCAAGGGAAAAACTCACACACTGCCTGATTTCCAGATGCTCGAGGTTAAGACCAAACCAGCGATTTATATTGTAAATATTATTATGTATATAACATAGCTATTTTATCCGAAAATTATCCACATAGTTTTTGTAGGGATCTAATTAAATTTTGGCATGATCAATATAATAGTTTAATACCTTTTTGGGCTTTTGTATTCATCCTGATGACTTGTTATGTGCTATATTTGGGATCTATAACCGCAAGTGAAAACCTGTTTCATACTGCTTGATACCGAGGTTAGGATCGAACCAGGGATTGATAGTCCACATTGTAAATATTAAAATTTATACTTGTTTATCTATGAATGTATATGTGTGTGTTTATTTATATACAAATAATATACCGTAAGGTCCAGCAATAAAATAAAACATAACATAGCTATTTTATTTGAAAATTGTCATCATATTACATGTCTAATATCCCATACAAAGATTGAAAAAAAATGGCCATACGATCTTAAATAAAATGTCAAAAATAAAAAAAAAGAGAAATATCTCATAGAAGATAATCTCTTAAATGCATTAACACCAATATCATATTGTCTTAAAAAATGTATATTATTTTGATTGACGATAAAAATATGCAAAAAAAAATATTACATGTCTGCAGAATTTTTATCATGCACAGATATCTTTGTGGGAATCAAATCTTGTTTTTCTGTATCATGCTGCTTAATACCGAGGTAGTCAAGGGTGAGACCAACCTAGCATTGTTAGCACGGTAGACTCGGGTTGAAAATATTATACGTTTATTTTAAATATTATCCCAGGGTTCCAATTAAATGTTTTGTCTGGGTACATCAAACTCAAAACAATCGACAAAAACCTCGGTTTTTCTCTTGCCACTTGTGCCCACGGAAACCACTGTCAGGCATTACTTCGTGGGGGGAGGCTCTAGCATGCTATGTCTCCCTGTTTTAGTTATAATTTTCTTCTAATTTGTATCACTTGCTCCTCCATTCTTTTAAGTTGCAAATATGAAAATACATATGTATGCAAGTATTTATATATGAACAAAATACCACAAGGTCAAGCAATAAAATTTAAAAAAAAAACTATCCAGTTGATGCATTTAATCTTCTATTATCAAAATTCGTCTCTGCAGATTTCTAAAAGTATATACTGTATTTATGTGCATGAATTCGTCGCTTGGGCTTCATAAAGCGTCTATTAAAACTCTTGAGAGGACAAAATATATAAACGCTTGAAAATCATAGACCTTATACAATTTCATGGACTGCTAGTCCCCATACATTTCTCAAGTAAAAAAGTGTCAAAAGATGTTCTATGGTATGAGGGCATACGAGGGTAATTTCGCGGCCGAGATATGTCAAACTCGATCGCTTAAACGTCAAATGAAAGTCCGTGTGTTCAAAATTGTTGGCAAAATATTATATAATATACAATTTATGTTGAACTAATGAATGTAATGAACTATTTATTTATTTATTTATTTTGGTTATACAAAGTGTTTAAGGAAAATTAGAAAAAAAAATTAAAACAATATTTTACATATTATAAAATTCACTGAAAATAAGAACAGTTGGCTAGAGCTATCATGGGAAATTAGAAAGCAATAATGAAATATTTGTTTAAATGTAATATATTTATTATTGGTGTTTAAAAAGCACAATTTTCGTATGAAAGCGGAGTACATATTTATCAACTTTGCTTTTCTTTCTTTCTTTCTTTTTTTCTTCATGGTGCATTCTAATTGTTAAGTAAATTTTTGCGACAAAGTTGATAAGGTCATGATAATGCTGGACAAATTGCTGGAAATAGCTTGATCTAAAAAAATGTGCAAGTCCCAAGTCATTCAACTTTCAGAGAATCGTGCTTTCATATGAACTTTTGTACATTAAATTTAAAGAATTTTGAATTAGGCTTTCTATATATAATCATAAATTAAACATTTCTTCGGAAGGATATGAAAGATATCCTCGATTTTTTATATCGATCAATGTCGAATTTCCCGGAATACTTGCGAAGCATACAGAACTGCACAAAACTGGTTTTACTTTAATCAGGCACCTTACCTAACACATTTTAGAAGACATTTTACTTTTAACAATTTTACAACAGGTATATTTTTATCCTCTTTTAGTTTAAAAACCCGAACGATCAAACATCACGTGAACCCAAATAACTGTAAAATTTGAGCGATCGAGTGCATTCGACTAATCTCGGCCAAGCTCGTGTTCGTATTTGACATATCTCGGCCGCAAAATTACCCTCGTATGCCCTCATACCATAGAACATCTTTTGACACTTTTTATGCGCTCAACTAGCAGTCCATGTATTGTATAAGGTCTATGTTGAAAATACATAAGCTCGTTAGTCGTGTGTTGTATGCAAGAAGAAACGATTACGGTCGCATCTTGAACAACCAGTTCGAAGTCGGACATCAGTGCAAGAACTTAACACGTGGATACATTTAATTTCACCTTTTGTTTACATCGGTGTCTAGTGATTAATTGGAAATAAATATGCAAAAACGTGCTGTGAATGTGATTACGAGAATTATAGAGTTGTGATTTGTAATAAATAGTTGACAAATAATCGTAAATTTTGCAAGTAATTGAGTTTTGGTGTAAACGCGCCAAGAATTCTTTGGTTTGGATTAAGCTCCTAAATGTTGCTGCAAGTGTAGATAGATATCCAACAATTAATTTATAAAAGCCGGTATGTAATTTTTTTTTATCAAATGTACCTTTATTAACTTTAGATAGTATATAAATTTAGTAAAAAAAAATTGGAAGAAAATAGTTCCATGGTGCTTGTGAATAAAGTCAACTATTCGTTCTAATATTTCTCATATGAATATCTAAATTTGGTGATCAACTAAAATTTTTTTTTTTTTTTTTATTCTCATATCTTAACAGCAATCATAACCTTACTATGAGCTGTTGGGATGAAATTTCTCCTTACTTTGTATATTTAGATGGTGACCCAATGGTTAATCCATCGATATTTGATGATTTTATTATTAGAATTTATCTGATAGGGTTGACTTTTTATCGGCTGAGGGCTATTTTCATTAGGAAGCATATTGCTATCTATATTTCCAAGTGAAAATCGTTGTCACTGCCGCCTGACAACAGGCTGGTCAAAGTGGGTATCGAACCCGGGACCTCTGAATCAAGTCCCCTCGGTCTTAACCGCAACTAGAATTAATGATGAACCAAACTGATAATAATTATTTTTTATTCTGTATGCTAAAAATATTATATTAACATTAATATTATATGCACATTATGCAGTGAAATTTTTGTTAGAAGTATTATATGGTATTTGAAAAATAACTCCAATCTTCGTTCTAATATTTTTCATAAAAAAATGTCTAAATTTGGAGCTAAACTCATAATATATTGACGATAATGCTTTAGTTTTATAATCAAATGACCTATGATTCAATTAGTATGTTAAAAATAAATTTTTTGGAACACTAAATGGAACAATTAGTGAGATTGTTATCATTGATGAGATTAAATAATAATTACAAAGCTTAATATAGCGGTACGACGAATACACAATTTTTACATTTATCATATATTTTTACCAATATCTTTTTTATCTAAATTAACAATGAAGGTTAATTGATAATTGTATCAACGTAATAAAAATTCCAAATAAAAAATATACATTTAAAATCTACCTATTGAAACCGTTTAATATCACTAATTAATGTAATAAATTTAATTAAAGCACAAATTTAGATATAAATGTAATTTGATGATGAAATTTTTAATATATAAAAATATTAAATGAGTTAGGTGTAACAGGCATTTCGCATTTAGGTGTAAGTGGCTTGAATTTTTCGATACATGTCGATTTAATTAAAAAAGTGTCGATTTAAGCTTTTTGGATAAAATTTATGCCCCAAAACGTCGAGAAAATATAAAATTAGCAAGTCAGATTTTCTGTTAAAAAAATAAACAGTTAATAAAATATCAAACATAAAGCAGTATTAAATTTTCAAGATATTGATCATCCAATAATTCAAAATTATGGGAGAAATCCACTGGTATTCTCAAAACTTTACCAACTGTGTAAACATTTTTGTAGAACATCCACGCCATACAAATATTATTATTTACAACGCAAATCATATTTCTCAATAACATATTTACCTCATTCAAAATTTCTCCAAAACCGCGACCGTCATTAGATCAAATGCTCAAAATTTACAAAAGTCATTGAGATTATTTCACATATGCTATAAAAATTAAACAACCAGTCATATTATCAGAAAAGCCTGTTTAATGTATGCACATTAATGTTATCACAAAATTAATTATCACATGGAATATTTGCTATGTTAGTCTATGAGAAACCACCGTGAATTCGACATGTTTTGGAACTGTGTAAAAATATTGAATTAAAGTGAATGTAAAAATAAGTAAATGTGAAATAAAATTGCATTGAAGCATTTGGAAAAATAGCTTATTGTTGATATTTATTGAAAGTCATTATCTGAGGTATGATTTTTTAAAGATTAAACAAATTTAACCCTTTCGATCCGAAAATGTGTTCCGAAGGAGTATCGCTGCTATACGAGCCAGCTTCCCAAGAGCTTCCCAAGAATTTGTTACAAAAAGTATTTTAAGATTTACCAATCATTATCAATAAAAAAATTAATATTAAAAATTTCACTTTTAAAAAACTGAACAGCATAATAAAAAATAGATTGGATGTCACCCATAGACGACGTATCAAAAGGGTTAAATCTACTTTTTTAATAAATATATAGTTTACAGTTAAATATATAAATGATACTTCAACATATATGTTATTGATGAAAAACAATTTTCGACACAGGTGTTAAATAAATTTAACGTCGGTTCATAATTTTGATTTTATCCTCTTTGCTTAAATGATTAAATAGTATTTATTTATTTACATAATTTGTTTACAAAATTACCATATATGCAGATTATGAATAAATTTAAACAAATATCTTGAAAAGACTCCCATAAATCATAATGAGTAGAAATACAAATTTATTCTTAAATTGACTAAAAAAAATCTTGTTAGTATATCTACGAGATTTAACCATATTTATTTAAATTTAATAATTTATTTAAATTAATTAATATCTAAAAAAAATAAAATAATTTAAACTGGATTAACAAGTACCTAGGTTTTTATGAATTTACATAGTCTCGTTAATTTTAAAATGTCCACTAATAAAAAAGAAAATTTTAAACTAATTAAATTTTGTTTTAAATATAATTAAAACGTATTTTTAATTATACAAGTACATATTTTTTAATATTTATTTAAATATAATAATTTTGAAAAATTACTCGCTTATTAAAAAAATAATTAACACAAGATTTTTTTAAATTAATTTTAGTATAAAAAATAAATAATTTGTTTTTAATTACACAAGTTCATATATTACATGCAATTTATAAAAGTATTAAAAATTTGTATTTGCCGATTGCAAGAAGCTTCTTCGAAAAAATCTTACTATAAAGTTAAAAGTCAAGGTTATTAATTTCATAATTATGTATGACTTAATATTTTATAATAAAATTGTAATTTATTTACATAAAATGAGGTCGAATAAAAAATATGATACATTCAAAATTTTTGAGTATGTATTTGTCACATGTGTTTATTATAAGTCATCAAAAAATGTGATTCTTCTTAAATTACGCACGATCTCTAGAATTATCATAATCAACAAGAAAAGGTTAAATACGTTATCAGTACCTATCAAAGAGTTTTATTTATTTACATTTTCATCGCAATAAACACTTTGAGAACACATTTTGATTATTTATAGAACTTGTATTATAATCTCGATCTTGATCTTAAGAATATTTACAGAATTAATAGTCATAATAATAATATAATTTCTACTAATATTTGCACAATGTATAATGCATCAACTTGCTAAATTGACAAATTATATAATTTTATCTAAGACACCTTGAACCACATTTCGCAAATTATTCCATAAATAGTTCAAGTGTATTTCTGTCTTATCAAAATAAAATTTTGATTTGACATGTTTGGAATATAAATAGTATTTTTACCATTTCGCTATGAGGTGACATTGATATTCATAAGTAAATTAAATTAATAATTATTATAATAGATTATTCAAAAAATGTATATATATATATATATATATATATATATATATTATCTATGTTTGTCATTTAATAACTTAGGAATTTTTCACGTGGTTCTTAATGCACCTTTACATTTAGTAATAAATTTGCAAATTACCTTTCATAATGGTGCATAATTTCAACACAAAGCTTTTATAAATATTGTTTTACGATTTGGAATATTATTACATTTCAGATAACATTTGTTTAACAAATAATTATGCAAGAATGTGAATACGTGTAGTGTATATAATTGTTTTATCTTGATTTATGCATTCTTAATTTATGAATAGAAGTAAATGCTTACATTTAGAAGCAAGTTATCGCAGTTGAAATAATTGCAAGAAAGTAGAAAAATACCGATATTATGACTGTCTTAGAATTTTATTAAGTGAGTAAATTTTCAAATTGAAGGCAAGGCTATCACAGCTCAAATAAATAAGTATCATATAAACAAACATGTTGCACTGAAATTAAAATACAAGTTTTTTTATAATTAGTCGTTTCATTTTGGTAAACAAATATGCACGACCTGCATAATAAAAACCGAAAAGTAATTACGTCAATTTGTTGTTCTCCAAGAATGATTTGCGTGTTTTATAGAGTTTGTTTACTAAGAAAAAAGACTATAAACTTTGAAGCAGAGTAATAACTACTATTAAAAAGCAATTGATTAATTATAAATAATAAAGCATCGCCTATGGCGCTATATGAGGAAGTATTGAGTCAAGGTTGTTTGGAATTGCAATATAAATAATATAAAATAAAAACTAGACAAAAATAGTATATTGATATTTTCCATGTTATTAAATTTCTTAAATCCTGAACTAATTGATGACAAAAATTAAAACGTATCTAGACATCAATCAGTGATTCTCAAAAAAAAAAATATTTCGGAGTTAGTTCTTCAAAGCTTCAATAGTAGAAAGACAAACTAGTATCAATATATAATTTATATGGGATATCTAGTATCTACTAAGTATTTTATATTTGATTTCAGTACTAATTTACTTCAGGAAGAAAATACTATCTACTAAAAAAAATACCAATATATTGCTATTGCTAAATGTTCCTAACGATCTGTATGCAAGAAGTAGTAAAAATTATTGTCTAATAAAAAAAACATCTACAGTTAATAGGTAATAACCCATTAACCAATATCATATGTAACAGGTAGTTACAATTATTTATCCAATAAATGTCTGACATTTATTACGAATAAAAATTAATTCTAGCTTTAAATTAACAGACTCCAGCCACAAGAATGAGGTTAGCCTCGATGTTGATCAGTTAAAATATTTTAAGTTCCATTAAAATAAAGTATATTTAGATAACGTTATGTAAGGCTGATCTTAAACTGGGTTTAATAGGAAGTACCTAATTTAAATTTATCACATTTATTTATAACACTTAGTTCTCCAAGAAGTTCATTGATGTAGAAATACAAACAAAAAAAATAAAGAGATGAATGAAAATTAGCCAATAATCTTCATTTTATCACTTTTTGGATTAAAAATATATTAGTTAATAGCATATTAGGGGGCGTCTATTAATCACGTGATCTATTTTTTAAGGATTTTTGGACCTCCCATCCCCCTTGGTAATATTCAAAATTACCCACCCACTCCTACCAAACTTCACTTGTATTTTTAGTTGTAAAATTAAATAAATAAATAAGTAAAATTTTTCAAATTTGTTTGAAAATGTTTGGATTTTTTTTTAAATTCAGGTAAAAATAAATACACGTGATATCTTACTATACACCTCCCACCCCCACGTAATATTTAGTGATTTTTTGTCAACCCCCACCCCCCTTCTACTAAAACCCTGATTAATGGACGCCCTCTTAGCCAGAATTTTCCAAATTGAAAACCTATCCAACTCAAGTGTTTCTCATAAATGCAAAATCATACTATGTCATCTAAAGAGTGATTACGAATCTACGTGATTAATCATATCTTATCAAATTGAAGTTCCTAAAATAAAATAATATCACGATTCATACTTATTGTTAGTAAAACTTAAATATTGCTAGACTTGCATGCTTCAAAAGCATTTGTCCTATAAATATTGATGTCCATAGGATTCTGTAAGTCATTTGGCAGTGTTTTCATTTTTAAATAACTGAATTCAAATTTCCTTTACCATTAAATATTAATTCTCATCATTTTCCTTTCAGATTTCAGTCATCTGATCCACAATGGACTGGTCATTACTTAGAAAATGCGTGATACTACTGGTCCTTTCCAGTAGTTCACCAGTTTTTGGTCATGTCATACAATGCTGCCCGGAAAAATTATCAATCATCAGAGGTGGATGCTCAGAACTTGGTGTTAACAGAAATATAACTGTTCCTTATAATATAGACTGTGACCGTGGTATGTTCCTTCTGGATCCATCAAGTTCCGAAGTCGATAACTTTCGTTTGGATGAATATGATGGACTTATAGTTGGAGAGGAACCTAGGAGCTTCAGAGTTCACCCAGAGAAGTAAATCCAATTCAATTCACATTCAAAGTCAACTACTGGGATCATTATTAATTGATATTTTGTGATTAATTGATTTGTTGGGATTATTAATAATTGTTGTTTTGTCTAGGTTTTGTCTAGGAGATCTTTCCCGAGACAACAGAGTTGCTACGACTAAGGTAGCAATGGTTTGTGCAGAGGCTGAAGGGCAAACCAGCTTATATTTTATTGTCAAGGGTACTTGTGCAGTGGTATCAGTAGTTTTTCTTGTGATTACTGCTATTTGTTACTTCCTTTTACCAGAATTGAGAGATTTGCAGGTAAATAGACCACCATTATAATCAACATCTTCACATTCATGCACAGCAAAATGATTAATCCTAAAATCAAAGACATGAAGTATTTTGGGTTGAGGAGATACTGGATTCAAAAACTCTCCAATCAAGTCATTGGATAACATAATTGTTTTGAAAATAATACAAAGAATAGTCATCTTCACCTTTAGATCGGTGCTTACGATCAAATTATCTACATTCCAACTTTCGATTGTCTACTTCTTCTCATCATTTGAATCATCTTAGTTTTACTCAAGTTCTATGAAGAATCTACCAATACTAAATTCACATTGAAACATTGAATTTCCTTGAAATACAAACATAAGACGCCATGCAGTCTAATCAGAATTACATTTTATCTACTTATTGTTTTATTAGAGTGTTTATAATTGAAATGGTTTCTAAGGAACAATCATATCTAATACTTCAATAGTATGATTAGTAATCATTGATTACAGTATTTTGAATCAAATTTCAAGGGAAATTATTCATATTTGTATACTTGAAAGCTCAACTTATCGTTTATCAAATATTGTAAACAAAAATGTAATCGATTGTTGATCTCTAAAAAGCTGATCAAAATTTAGATAAACTGATAGTATATCATGAAAACATTATTAAAAATTACTGTTTTAGTTTACAGTTTGAAGTTTGTTCAAACAATTATAGTTTTTTGCGTCATAGTTTGTAAATTCGCACATATATCCAGTCATATCAAATTACTAACATATGTCCCATAAAATACACGATAAGCAGAAATTCTAAATAAATCAATATGGGCTTATACATGCAACATGAACCAGGACATCAAATTATCACTTCGAAAAATAAATATTGGTAGTAAATGAGTTAAAACCGAAAATTTATAATTTTCAAAAATCAGAGTTCATTTGACTTTATATAATCATCTAACTGTTGAAAGAAAAACTATCTATAAATCATTAATTAAATTATTTTAAGATTCTATCAAACTATGAGTTATTTTAATATTCTATAAGATGATCAATCAGTTATTTTAATTAAGCTTCAAAATATTTATTATTTTATTTATTAATTTTCCAGGGAAAATGTATGTTATGTGCAATAATTGCCCTGGCTGTAGGATTTCTCAATTTGTGTATAGTTCAACTGGAATTTATTGAATATAAGGATGATGCTACTTGCGTTGTACTAGGTCAGTGCCAAAATTTAATCACAAAAAAAATTAATTATAATAAATTAAAAATTTTTTTAGGTCTTATGATATATATTTGGATGCTTTCATTTTTCTTCTGGCTGAATGTCGTTAGTTTCAATTTATGGAGAAGTGTAGTGTAAGTATATAGGAAAATAGAAAATATGATTGACTAGTCATTGTGGTATCCTCTATTAAAATGAAATGGCTTTGGACAAAATTTATTTCTACACGATAGTTTCAAAAAAAATAGTTTTAAGCCAATCAATCTCGGAGTATTTAATAAAATAAAATAAAACTCTAAGTACCTACTTCAAAAATCCACTTAAAGTCATTATACTAACCTATCATGATACACCTTGGCATAAAAGAATTTATCGGTTGTTGAAAATTATCGATTTTCATATTTGATACAAACTCGTTGTCAGATAGTATTATTGCATACAAAAAAGCGCCTGATAAGATACGCAAAATTTTTTACTAATAAAGAAACAAAAATTTGATACGCATTTTTAGCGCTTCCTATCAATATTATAATCAATACCAATTGAATTATTGAATATAGTGTGTCAGATAAAAAATTAATTGAAAAAAATGCTGTATTTTTAGAGCAAAAACGAGAAGATTTGAGGAGCGCCAACTGTTCTGTTGCTACAGCGCCTACGCCTGGGGATGTCCCTTGATTCTTGTTGGAATCATGATGATTTTACAATATGGACCTACGGGTCACAAAATTGTTGGACATCAAAGATGTTTCCTATCATGTAAGTAATTGGTAATTTACCTACTTTTCCAAGAAATTTGGGTCATAAATAAATGATGTTCCACCTTCATCAATAAAATGCATTCTATAATCAACAAGTCGTTTCACAAATGCATTTATTTGTAATAACATGATTAAACTTTTTAAGTATGTACTGAATTTTGAAAAAATATCTTTTTTAGATGATTGGAGTTTCGTCATGTTCTACTTAGTTATTGCAGTCATATTATTAGCAAACACCATAATGTTTGCTATAACTGCATGGAAATTATGGAAAGGTCTTGAAACGTTAGTAGATGTCAAAAGACGATCACTTAAATATAAGTAAGAGCGACAAATATAATTGTAGATATATTAAAATTAACTAGAGATGAGAATATAATCATTTATTTCAGATGCTGCATGTATCTAAAACTCTTCCTTATAAGTGGCTTGACTTGGTTATTTGAAATAGTATCATACATATTCGAAACATTTGATGAATTCTGGTAAGAATGACCTTTCTCCTTTCTTCTAACATTCAGCATTATTTTATTCTCAAATTTTCTCATAGGATCGTGACGGATGTAATAAACGGTTTGCAAGGATTTCTGATGTTTTTGGTCCTGATAGCACTAAGGCCAAGGGCTTTAAGAGCTCTTGCAGCACGAGGATTTTGCTGCTTAAAAATGCCGCAAAGATGGCGTCATAGAAGGGACACTGAATTACTTCATGACGACGAATTGGATGATGATGAAGATGGTCAAGATGATCCTACGAGGACGGTAAATAGTAGAAAAATAACATTCGAAAATAGCATATAATAGCAATAGCAATGGATCAACTCAGACTTCTAAAATCACTCAACCTAAATCTTTTTTATCATTGCTCCAGTTTCTAGCACATAACTGCTCTTTTAATTTATGGTTTTCAAAAGTAATGGTTCAAATTGGGCAGTTAAAAAATAAGTTCGTTCCCCGAATAAAAAATAAACACGGCAAGCAGTTAGACCATAAAATAAATGAATCATAGTCTATTTCTAAATAATGAACGTAAATATAAATCCAGATGGCTAATGGACTGAAGATTAGTATATGAAACGATTTTGATGTATTGACCACATGAAATGTGAGTTATATTGGGATGCCAATTAAATGAATGAGGCTAATGATTGATAGAGCATTTTGCAGCAAATGCATTTGTGCGATTATAGAAGTTTTGGTATTTAGGACAATATGCAAAACTCGATTAGAGTAATTTGACAAACAATCCGGCTAATAACTAGAAATAGCAGTTTTTGATATGCAAATCGATACAAAATAAATCATGTCATTCATATTTTTTATATTTAAATGATAAGCATTAATTTTTATTAAATAGTTTGTAGTCAGTAACAGTTCATCCCATTTGATAAACAATTTGAAAATTTTATCAATCTGGACACGACATCCAATCAAATTAAAAGTTTTTGTATCGGGACAATGGTCTTAACGTTACTTAATTATATAGTTATTTATTTATTATTTTATTATTTTCAGATAACTGAACATGCTGGAAATGGTCTATAAAAAGGGGAAAAGACCTCAATGAATAAACAGAGATCTGAGCTTTTAAATTACGCTTATTTATTTAAGTTAAGTTTCGTCGAAATACTCATAGTTATCAAAAACCTATATGGAATCAGAATCTCAAATTAGGTTTCCTAATTGTTATAAAATTCTTAAAAATATTTTATTTTTGATAAAGCATAAAATTAGTGTTTAAATATAAAATGTTACATTTCTGTAAGATCCTGTATAAATATAGATATCATATAAATTATTTCATAGAGCTGCCATAATATTTATAGTAAAAATGCATTATCGAAAAAAAATTCAGTTTTCAATAAAGTCAAGTTAATATTTTTTGCATAGATGAGTTTGTCATAAATTTGAAAAATATAATTATATTTTAACCAATTTATGTTATAATTTTAGATTAAGATTATTGTTATTTATAATCGAACTTGTCTACATAACCAAATATTAAATAGTAGTTTGGAGTAAAATAATTATTGTAATGTATTAGCATAATAAAGACCTTATTGTTGTATAAACAATTTTATTGCACTTTTTATAGCCGAACATAATTATTCTTAATCCTAAATAAGAATTGGGCTAACTACGATTGTATCAAAGGTTTCTCAACCCTGGTCTCTTTATTTCCAGTATAATTACATTAATGACATAAAATACAACTAAACAAAACGTCAATAAGCCTTGAAATGCCTACACTATACGTTTTAATGATATTCATATCTGATTCACGTACAATTTTACGTCATACATAACAACTACGGATTGCGGATGAAATACGTCAAATATTATTTATAAGTTATATATATGATATTCAAAAGCCCAAAAATTTATTGAAAAATATTTTAAATTGCCATGGCGTCGTTAATGTAATGCCGAAGGCATGGTAAAGAAAACAAGCTTGAAAACATTTTGTTTAAAATTTAATTAATGTAAGCAATTCGGTGAATGTTACTAACTATTACTATAAGACAATATGAGATTTTATTAATTTAATCCATCGATTTACCAGGACTTATTTTGATAAGAAACGCAGAGAGCGGAGCGTACGTATATAGAGTGCAGCCGCATTTTCAAATTTTTAATTAATTTTAATAAATAAACCACTTCTCACAGGCCTATAATATTTTAAGGACATTATTTTGACTATCAACTCTATATCGTGTGAAGTTTCATCAAAATCGCAGAAGAGTAAATTTAAGGTTCTCCTTGTGTGGAAATAAGAGGCTTCATTAATATGAGACTTTTTTTTAAGATTTAATTAAGATGATCAACGAGTATATGATTATTGTCAGTTAGCAAAAAATATTTACTGGGATATTATAAGAGTATCAATCACAGTCAAAAAAAGGATTTAATCTATATTTCTTGAACAAAAAATCCTATTGATAACCCAAAAAGCACGTCAGTATACAAATATTACGTACTATTACTATACTAAAGTCATTACTATCCGTTGATTTACCGCAGGGATCTCTTTAGTTCATTTTTCAAAATTTCAATTTTCATATTTAAACCTTCTTAAACTTCTATTAGGCGTATAATATTTTGAGGAGTTCATTTGGACGCATAACAGTAAAGCTGAGGTTCTCCTTATTAGACAATATGAGGTTTCAATTAGTACCTAGGCCTGCACTTAGATTCTAAGCTCACCTGGAGATTCCATATAAATAATAAAATACAGCAAATAAAACTAAAAATGCAACAGCTAAATTGGCTTCTAGGCAGAAAGTCAAAACTTTCACTGTATAACAAAGTTTTAATCTACAATGCAGTGCTGAAACCGGTGTGGGCCTACGGCATAGAGCTGTGGGGATGCGCTAGCAAATCACATATAGCCAAAATGCAGAGAATGCAAAATAAAATTCTCGCAACTTCTATATGGTTTAATAACATATGAATGAAGTTGCAATTTTATGTGTACAACGCCTGATCGTACAACAAATACCTAGCATTTCCACAGTATTTAGTACGATTTTGTATGAACACTGCCACGCATAGCTTTGCCATAATATTGGTCTATTTTACAACAGAATCTGCCCATACCTATATCAGTTTCAAAAATTGTCAAATATATTCAAAATAAGTGAAAGAAAAGATATTAGGTCCCGATTCTGTCATTTTTACGTTTGAGAACCCCTAATATATCCAGACAAGGCGTCGCGTGTATCAGGTAAATATTTTAAATACGGCGCGTCTTATGAGCTTGATACATTTTGATTATAAACATTTTGAATCTTCGGAGGCGTCTGGGTGCCATGGATAATATCTGGGACTCAAAATAAACTCCTTCAAGAATGGTGGTTATATTACAATATAGAAGTCGTAAATGGTATGAATAAAAGAACAGTACAGACTAGGTAGGGTTCATGGAACGTGCATACAGCACACCGACGAGGAAGGTGCTCGTGTGCGTGACCGCGAGTGTTGTGGGGACCACCAGATAATCGATGTTGGGAAAAAATACTTTGTCGAAAATAATAATTTTTCATGGTTTTATTATTTTTCCAAAAAAAATATTCAGGCCTAGGAAATCCAAACTAATTCACTTAGTTTAATAATGTGCTAAGCTAACATAGTTTAGTTGTAATTTTGGACTTAAATTGGTTCAGTTTAGAGTTTATTTTAATTCAGCTAAGGGGGCGTCCATTAATCACGTGAGCGAGTTTTTAAGGATTTTTTGACCCCCCCCCTCCCCTTGGTGATATTCAAAATTACCCCCCCTTCCCGACCAAACATCACGTGTATTTTTAGTTACGTGAAAAAACTAACATTTTTAATTTTTTTTTAAATGTTTGAAAAAAAAATCGCATAAAAAATAAATACACGTGATATCTTACTAGACCCCTCTCTTCCCCACGTGATATTTCGTGATTTTTTGTCAAACCCCCCTTTCCCCTAAAAACCTCACGTGATTAATGGACGCCCCCTAAGCACAATTAATAGAATTCGATTAGATAAGCTTTTAAAGAAGTTTATTTCAATTGAGCATATTGTTAAAATAATCCATATCAATTACTAGATGTATTAAAAATATATATTTTTTTTCTATTTGAAAACCATTATGTCTATCATATGAAGACATACATTGAATGTTTTAATAAATTAAAGTTTTTAACAATTATTTGTCTTTTACAGTTGTGATATTTTTGAGTAGAATTTCTGACTTAATTATTTTTGCAACAAAGCCCCAAGAGAATATTTTGTATTAATATTTATATTTGAGATCAATAACAATTGATGTCAAGTAAAAATTTCATATCACTGCTGCTTGATGTAAGCTCGTTAATTGCTAAATTGACATATTGATAATAATATATAAATTATTTATTATATAATTTATGAACTTTTTTTTCAATTTGAATAATTCTGATAAGATTGAATTTGATATAATTATTATATTAAATTTATCGATGCATTTTTTAAGAGAGTTTTTCGAATTATATTTTATACTGTAAAGGCTGATTGATTGAATCGATTTAAATAATAAATAAAATTATATAAGATACCTAAAATAATGTTGTTTGCGATATTGTTTATTTACAGTTAGTAATTAAATGATAAATTTATGGCATAGCAACTTAGTATTTTATTTTTTTGAAATAATAGCAAAAATTTGGGTTATAACCTTATAATTAGCCTAATTTAAAATTTTAACCAAATTATTGTATTACGACAATTTAATAAAAAGATATTTATCAACAGGCAAATAAAATATGGACGTATATTACTTTTTTCAGGTATATCTTTTGGTAGATTTGAATTATAAATATCACAAATATTCTAAATATATAATGATTTACAACAATGTTCTCTATCATACATTTTAGCCAGAAATGTTATTAACATCTTTTCTGTGTTTAGTATACTCTATATATTATATATGTATTAAAAAAAAAAAACAGATAAATTATATAAAGGCGGTTTTGATTAATATCTTCTAGAAAAATTATAATTTTTAGCGAAATTCATAAATTTATTCACAAGAACTAATCTATAAAGTCTTCTCTATATAATAATCTCAGTCATGTCTATATAATATTCAAGTATTTTTTGGCAAACTATTAAATATTACATATCCTCTATACATATTCCGAATTACGACCCAGATCACGATAATCTATCATATATAAAAATTCTGTAAGCTTAACTTTATGGTAAGTTCTTACCTTAAAGTTTGCAGAAGGTTGAATTTGCAGATTACTAAATGAGCTTATCCTACTTTTGGCAAATTACCAAACATAATGCGAAATTCCAAAAAAAGTTGAAATTTATTCTTGATTTTTCAGTTTGTTAATAAAATAAACGGCGATACTTGTGTCTACACTATAGCTTTTGCTATATCTTTAATTATCACGCTGTCGAGACATCGAATATTTAACTTTTTATATCGACTTTGAAAATAACAGGTATGTGCCCCCCTAAAGCGTCGTACCTGGTCAAACGAAACGCACAGTGTACATCAGCCAGCGAGTTTGCAAACGAAGGCAGCTTAATAATATAAAGACTTTAAATTATTTTAAATATAATAAAGAAAATATCACTGCAAACTTATAAAAAAGTCAAAAACAAACCATCAAACAAAATTGAATCAAACAGTTGCCTCAACCGCCAAGTGTTTCTAAGAAAGGAGTCTGATTAAGCAGAAATGTGATATTATAACCTTCAAATCTTATAAACAATATGTATTGTCGCAGTGGAAAACATAGTTTCGCTTTTATCTGGATATTACAGTGTATATTTTCTAGTGTTGTGTTTGGTGCCGTGAAAAGTTCGGAAAATATAGATGAAAATTACGTCCGGGTTAACAAATGCTGTGAAATTAACGAACTCAAAGTTGAAGACAGATGTACCCATGTGAATGAAACTAGTGCCGGTAGAGAATCTTTTATGGGCCTCTATTGTTAAATTATAATATATATATATATATATATTTAAAAAAACATCAATATTATATTTAAAAAAATACCGTTAACCGAGTTAATATGTATGGGAGCGGTTTTGATCAATATATCCTACAAAAGTTCTAATTTTTACTCACAAAATCTAATCTATTAGAGACAAATTTATGTAATAATCCCAGTCCAAACAAGACCTTGGTTAAAAATATAAAAATTATAATTAATGCTACATAAAATAGAGATCATATTACAAAGAGTTATAAAAAGAGCTTTATAACTGATCAAAAATTTAAACTTAAATATTTTAGCAATGAAGATGAACATTTTTATCCATTTTTATAATCTACGGTGTCAAAGATAGAGATCATAAAATAGAAATCAAATTGCAAAGAGTTATAAAAAATGTGTCTATTATGAAACGTCCAAATTTTGAGAGCTTTATAACTTTAAACTTAAACATTTTTGCATAATCCATAACCCATGAAGTCAAAATTCTTATTCTCAAAATTTTTAATCAAAAGATATAATCTATATAGTCCAATAAGACCTTGGTTAAAAATATAAAAATTAGAATTAATGTTACTTAAAATAGAGACTATATCACAAAGAGTTATAAAAAATGAGCTTATTATCAAATGTCCAAATTTTAAGAGCTTTATAACTAATCAAAAGTTTAAGCTTAAATATTTTAGCCATAACCCATAAGGTTCAAAATTTTTATTCAGATGATATAATTTTTAGACTCAAATATATGTAATAATCTCAGTCCAAACAAGACCTTGGTTAAAAATATAAAAATTATAATCAATGTTACATAAATAGAGATTATATCACAAAGTTATAAAAAATGTACGTATTTTGAAACGTTCATATTTTTAGAGCTTTATAGCTAGTCAAAAACTCACCATTTTTTGGAAAATGATTTAGATAAAAAAATGAATAACCAAATTTCAAAAACTTCCTGCGTAATTAATTTCCAAATTATGCTTACAATTTGAATGATAACAATAAGAATAAAATTTTTCAATCAATTTTTGAATTAGCCTTATAGTTTAATAAATTAATGTGATTTTTTGGAAACTTAAATCAGGAACTTTCTTTAACAGATTTCTTCAAAGAACCAAGGAATAAAAATAATACCGATTTAGTTTTAATTAATATCTGATATATATATTTTATATCCCCACTCTAGAAATAAAATAAACAAATATTAGAAATCCTCTTATTGTTTCTGCAAACATTAGTTAAACTTGGAAGTAAATTTTTTTTTAAACCAACCAAAAACCAAAAATGTATTTGACTTTTTCTACAAATGATTTCAATGATTTCAATTTACTTACATCAATTACATCTGATTATGCAAAAACTCGTTACTCTACAATGGGTGATTCATTCATAACCCATTCATCGAATAGGTTTGGTTTATTGCAATACAAAAATACCAATTTGCTCTTTATATTATAAAAAAAAGTTAGTAGAGTATCATTTTCGTAATGATATACAGAATTAACGTCATAAATATATACAGTTACAATTTTATTGCCTTCGAAAAACACACTTGGCTGTAAGTGATAGGTTTCCGTTAGAGAAAGTAGAAAAAAAGGCTTTTAATCAAGATGTGTTAGAAAAACTAACTGCTGAAGTAGTATAAATGAATTAAGTAGATATGGGGTTAAGAAATAAATAATTTAATTTAATCGAATATGTAAAATCTGTCCTTTTATCAGAGAAATAATAACAATTATTAGAAATGATACGTGGAAATGCTAGTTACTATGTCAAGACTATGAAACAAATCTAAAATAGATAATTGTATTTTGTTATAAATTTATCATTTATTTTTTATAAATACGCATTTATTGATTTGAGTTTATAATTTATTTTAATTATATTTTTAATTATATTCGGGCTTATGAAACCATTCTGTTAACCATATCTATAAACAATTTCGAAATTATTAAGGAAGCACGTGTGTATAGAATAAAAAGATCAATTAGCAGAACATTAATAATTAGGCTTGCAACGAATAGTATATTCGGCAAAATGACGAATACCGAATATTCGGCATACCCCAAACACCGAATACCGAGTATTCGACATGCGTCAAAGACCGAATTTGGCGTTTTATTAATAATAATGTTATCAATTAAAATAATCTCCTTTAATAATTAGTCAAAAATCTTTGAAGTAGCATAAACATTGAAAAATCACAAACTTGAACGAATATGTCTTAATATATATTAACGGCTACTTACTTAATTTAACTGAAGGTAACAATATTTTATACCCTATTATAAACTGAATATATTTCCTTTAACTTTAACTGATTGTTAATAATTGTATTAAATTCTATTTCTTCATTAAAAATCTTAAAGTTAGTAAACATTACATGCGTTTGTTATTACATTCAGCAGTTATCAACTGCCAGCAATCTCTATTAGCATAATTATTATTCATTTTCTAAACAAAGTGTTTTGATGCAAATGGATTATAATTGATAATTTTAAATACTATGTTATTTTTTATATATAGAACTTTGGCAGCCAATTTTTACTGGTCTAAATGGTGAACAGAAGGTCCAAGTCAAATTCAAATTCGTCACCGGAATACCTCAATGTGGTTCAACGGAACAAAGGCATATTTATCATTATGCAGCCGTAAGTATATAATAATAATTTATATCTATTTTTTATATTTATTTTAAATAAATACATTTTTTAAAAGCGTTCTACGTAATTAGTTTCTAAACTATATTAACCGCATGAAGAAAGTATCCAGACTGAATCTGGAACTTTTCAAAAAAAAAAAATAATTGTAAATATTGAACAGAGTAATCTAATGTTGAAATTACTCAGAATAAATATGTTGAATCTTTGTAATAAAATTCGTCAAAGAGTATGTCAAAATTGAAAAGATTAAAAGACAATTTGGTTATTGAAAATGGGAGCTTTTTCTTAAATCCAGTTTACAATTAGCCTTGTAATTCATCAAATGAATATCGATCTTACAAAATATAGAACAAAAAAAATAAATTTTCCAGGGCACGACAAAAGCATTCTATTAGATATATAAATTTGTAAAACCAATTATGGTTACAATTTTTTAAGACTACAATTTATTAACTCTAGAAATAGAATATACAAATATTAGAAATCCTCTTATTGTTTCTGCAAACATTAGTTAAACTTGAAAGAAAATTTTAAAAGTAATAAATCTTACATAAACCGAATCGAGAAAAATTAATTTAAGTAAGAAAATAATTAATATGCTACAAGTATCTTCTTATTTTCACAAACTGTGATTTACTTTTCTTAAGCATATTAAACATAACTTGGAACTATTATAATACTGATAATATTCGTCAATTTTATTAGTAAAAAAAGAATTATTGACTTTAATATCTCTACTAGTGAAACAAACTGTATTCAATATTAATCTTTGTATTTATAAATATTTTTCCAGAGCTCTGATAAATTAGTACTTCTGTCTAATGGCAATTTAAGACATTATATTGATTATAATGTCGATAATGAATATTATTACGACGATGAGAAAGATGGATCATCTGAACCTACTTATTACGATTACATTCCTGGACTATATTGCATGGACAAGGTAAACCAAGATAAAGTCTACTGAAATATATCCGAAATAGTAGAAAAATTTAACCAAAAAGAAGCCTTTTTCAATCCAAGTACTTAAATCTCATTTCCAATTTCCAGATTATTAGCAACGACAATAAAACTGGTCAATATGCATCAGTGTGCGTACCAAGAGTAGAAACAGTATGGAAGGATCCTGAATTTTTAATTCACAAAATAATAAATCCTGCTCTGCACATACTGTGTATTGCAATATTACTGACAGTAGCAGTAATTTACTTTGTACTTCCAACTTTAAGGGATTTGGTTGGAAATATAATCACCACAATGTCCATGTGTTTGATCATTACTCAAGCTGCAGATCTGGTTAGAATTTACACCGAGTTTAGTAGTCATGTCAGTTTTATGGTTGCAGGTAAATTATTAAAGATGAAATATGTAATTCAATTCATCTTAATTAGATAAATAAATGATGGTTGTTTTTTATTCACAGATTCTGTGCTGTATGTAAGTTTGCAAGCTACGTTTTTCTGGCTGAGTGGATTAGGATATTACATATGGTCAACATTCAGGTAAGGAACAAAAAATTTACCTGATATATTAAAATTTATATAAATAATTTATAATCCAATATTGCAATAGATTAGATTTTTGTGCTCATAGAGAAAATTTATTGATTGAATTGATTTTTTTCCCCTAGATCGAGAAATGTATTCCTACGAGTAACAGATGGAAGAAAATATTGCTGGTATTCTGGCTATGTTTGGAGTTGCACAACAATAATGGCAGCCTTAGCATTATTTGCACATTATACATTAGATAATGTTAAAACTAACAATGCGGTTAAGGATACTAATCAGCCTACAGTCGGTCAGTATTAGATATATTTTTAATGTAACATGTTTAAGACAATTTGTGTACAAACAAAATTACTTGATTTTTCAGGTTGGCTTGGTATCGCCGTATTTTTCACACCTATTGCCTTTATAATTCTTGTCAATATATTCTTCTATGTTACTACACATAAGATTATAAGTAGGATGAGTACATATGGAAGGATACATCATAAATTAAAGAACAAGTAAGTATTATCATTCTTTTTAAAGTCATTTTAAAATACAGAATTTAAATTATTTAAATACAGAAGTTTGAAATAAATCTTCAGATCAAGTATGATTACATGAATTTGAAATATTTTATGCCATTTGAAAAGAATGTGAATTTGAAACTGATCATCTGATTTACAGAAAGATCTTTTTTACTAGAAGTTTGGCTATCTTGATCAGAATTAAAGAGCCTTAACTAAAGCTGTCTACAACATTTAAGAATATGTACCATAATCTACTAATAGTATTCATTTCTTCAGTTTCAGAATATTCCTATTTCTCTTCATAATCCTATCGATATTTTGGATGTCTATGCTATTATCCTGGCTAAATTTTCCACTACTATTTTACACTCATGTAATTATTAATGCACTACATGCACCAGCCATTTTATATGTCTGTGTTTTAAGTCAGAAACATGTCACATTTTTGTTACGAAAGTCATGCTGTTATGGACAAGAAGCAGTTCCACAGAACGAATGGGGTGATGAAATGACGCATATGAATGGCTTTGACTATTGAAAAAATATTGCCTTATAAATGTGATATTGATATAAATATATATTTGTATTAGATTATTTGTTATAATGAATTTACATTGTTCACTGATTTCCACCTATCTTGGCTATGATTTACCTCAACTACGATATAGTTAATTTTTAACACTAAAACCTAACATACACTTTCATATAACCAACAATCAAATTGTAATTGAATTATTATGAATTATGTTGTTTAGAAGTGATATATAGTAAAGAAGCAAGTTGTTTTGCCAATGGTCACTAATCACATTTTGTTAAGAACAAATTATTTAGAAGTTGAACCTCAATGAGCAACTAAATTGCTAGTTGAATTTCCAAGCAATCTCGAATAAGCAATTAGCATTGCATAAAGTGTACTTATTTAGAAGTTGAACCACAATGAGCAAATAATAGTATTAAGTTTTTAAGCATAATTTCTATTACGAATAAGCGTAATAACTTTGCGTGTTTAAATTATTTATATAGAATTTTATATTGCAATTTAAATCTAAGTCAATTTTTGAATGACTTTATATAATATTACATTTTATATTATAATGTTTTTATATTGTACATTATTGTAAACCGAAGAAATAAAATTTATTCATTAACATTTATAGCATTTTTCAGGAATATTGATTTAACTTAATGTCTTTCATGTTTTATTCATCTTTCTGATAAATAAAACACTAAAGCTATAAAAATAAATGACTAAATCTAATCACTTACTTGTGAAAACAGTTTTCCGTCCTTGCAGTGTATGAATTTTGATAATTGGCATCTAACAATTAGATGTGAGTCATCCAAAACAGTATTAAAAAACCTGCGTGTAGGTAACAATGCTTCTAAATCAATTAAGAGTTCTAAAAATCTTTCCAAATACCTAACAGTATATTTTGGTAAATCTTCATCAGTAACCTCATTTATTGAGTCAAGTACATTTAAAAATTTCATCATGAGACGCTGAAAGTAAAAAAGGCATAAAATAAAAATAATGACAGAAAAATTTTACTTTTATTACACTTTAATCAAGTAAAAAAAAATACCTGTAGAAAGCACCTTTCCCATAGCAGCTTTTCCAACATATCTGGTTTATCTTTTTTTGGAGAGCTTTATAAATTTTTCTCCATTTAGGTATTTTCTTTAACTCATATTCTCTTCTGCCTAAAAATGTATTGAATATATACAATAAATTGAAACTATAAGAAACAATAAAAAAACTGAGTCGTTGAATGTTAATTTACCTGGATCTAAACAGCACCACATTGACAAAGAGACCAATCGCTTAGTTTGTTCTCTGCACAAAGCAACTTCCATACTATTGAAGCAGTGATTCAAAAAAACTATTAAAGCTGTAGCTTCTTGCATAGCATTTTCAGTCTGAGGAGTATCAGCTAAACACGCTCTCAGCACTTGTTGAAAAAATGCTGAAAAAGCTTCTGGTCGTCTTTCAAAAGCTTGCCATGCTTGGACCCGTTCTCTGAATTTTTCATTTAACATAACGACTATGGACATCATGTGAGCATGTGAAGACTTCTCAGAATAAGTTGGCCATAAGTAATTTTCTAGGTATTGACTGAATTCAAGCATCATTATACGTCGAATTGAAAATTTTGTACCACATATTTCTCTTAAATATATGTCGTCTATTATGGAAGGATTATAAGGAAGGTGTGATCCGGCAGTACTTGGGGCCCAGAATTGATTAGCAAGCTTAAGAAATAAAATAAATATATTAGAAAATTTAAAAGTGTGGGAATATAATTTTAGGTTAAGCCGACATTAATCTTACCATAGTAATTTCATCCGCATTAATTTGATCCACAGTGACTGTGGGAAGTTTTGCTTTTACAGCAGTCTCTGCTTTTTCCATTTTTTATACTTTTATTAAACACTTTACAATAAAAACACTTATTCATGTAAAAGAAGTAAAAGAACTTAGATTTATTGGTTATGTTTATTGCAACAACTACTGAACTGATTGTCAAAAGCTTTCGACGTTTGTCGTAGGTGGCTCCACAGTAGGATGAAATTGATAATAAAGGCGCCATTTTTGAATTCAAAATAATGTTCTATCAATTTCAAATAAATATTTATTTTATTTATTTTTGTCGTTATTTATATATTTATTACATATATCCATATGAATACGTTCAAACACAACTAAGCCTTAAATTAAAACATATATTTTATAAGTTTTTATAAAAATATTTTCATACTATTAATTAAAATCTATCTGAATTGTTTTCTGTTATAGTCACATAGATATTGGTTTCTATTTTTACTATATTATTATTATTATAATAAACGCTGTCTGCTTGAAGGCAGATCCATGGGGTGAGAGTTCTTGTACTTTGAAAGAGCTGGTTTCTATCCCGCATAATACGCTTTCTCGCATATGATGCGTTTTTAGTTAGTTCCAAATAATTATAATATAACTATAAAATATAAATTTCATAGTATTTGAGTTCAAGTTGAAAAAATACATTATTTTTTAAATATAAAATGAAGGTTACATATACATAAGGTGAGATTACATAAAGGAGGATAGGTACATAAGTTGTCTACCCTTGGGTATTAACCTTTACATTAAATATTTTTAAAAGTACATTTATATGTATTAAAGAAAAACGGTATATTAAATCGAACATGTATAATAAAAGAAAAATTTTAACAATTCTTAAAAAAATCGCATGGCAATATTTAGCAATATGAATAAAGTTCCTATTACAGCTATGAGTCGATCAGGCTATAGTTTGACATTATATAATAAGTACACAGTAAGAGTAAGAAATACACGTCGTGTTATGAATGAATCTATTATCAAAACAAAATTATGTCGCAACATTTGAACAACAAATAGCTATTACCAAATAATTCTCCTAAAATAGAATCATCGCCGGTGGCCTCATACAAATGACGTCAAATTATTGACGAAATCGACGCGTAAATTCTTTTCGAATATTGTCTCTTTTTCTCCAGGATCTAAATAAATCGTTTTCACACGCATTTCACCTTTCTCCATCACTTAACAACCGTCTGCAGACGAAATGTCTAACATTAACTTTATTTGTTGGTTTATTTTATTAACAGGTTTAGATGTTGTAAATATGAAAGTAAAAGTCTTATTAATTCATGTAATAATAGATCGGTTTAATGGAGCTTAGTCCTGTGGAATAATAGCAGAGAACACTGATATAGCAGTTAACAGCTATAATATTTTGTTATATACTTTAGTTTACATATATACATTTGCTCTAGTTTACTTAATTATAAGAATATTACTAGAAACTTTGCAAAACATTATCATTAAAATATTGAACACAGTTAACTGGTCAAGACTACATAAAATACTGGGTGATCTATACATTATCAAATTTATATTATAATCGTTAACACTGAAGGCGATTTCTTTTAATATTAATCATAAGTTCTAAGACTCCCATTTGAAACTCAACAATCTCGTCTTCAGTCAGTGTTTGTAAGGAAGGTAGAATACCTTTAAAAAACGATATATGTCTATCTCCAATATCTCCCAAAATTGTTGGAGACTCTACTTCTGTCTTAACTTTTTTCCGAGCAGGACTAGAAGTTATTTCAGTGTGTTTGCAGAATTATTTTCCCGATCGCTCTCGTCGCTTTCAGAAAGATTTTTTGCAGGAACTTCCACGAAATTGAAATGCTCATTGGTAAGGGATGAATTTAAAGTGCTGTCTTCAGCTGATGGTAGTTTGAATGTGTTTTTTAGAAACTTTAAGTTTTCACTATATGTATAAGGTTTTATTGGGGTTTGTGAGTATTGTTCTTTTCTTAATGATTTGAGGTAGGCGTCTCGGATGTTTGTCCAACGTTTCAGAATTGCCCTCCCTGGGAAGAAAAAAAATAAATTTGTATTATATGGTAGCAACATAGCTCAGAGTCTTACTGATAAACTTGCAATCATAAGGTATTATCGAGTTATATGGAATGACTTTTAACTTTTTGAAATCGGTGCAGCCATTTTTGAGAAAATGTCGTCGATGGATCAAATTTGGGCACATATACAACACACACATATACAGACATATAGCACACATCCTTTTTCAAATTTCGTGACAAACTGTTCAGAATGTCTTGAATCGTCGAGGAAACGTAAAGTAAAAATCATAATTAGTAATCGAATTTTCTGGCAAAAAATAGTTTCTTTGGGAAGTAAATAAAGGTTTAATTAAGTTTTTTGATAATTATAAAACAGGTAAGCTTACATTAAAATTTAAAATAAATTATTATTTGAATAAATACTGCAATTGGATTTTTAGCATACGCTTCATTTCCCAAGATTAGAGAAAATAATTAAAACAAGTGTTTGTAAGGAAGGTAAATAATAGGAATATCGTTACAAAAATATTCAGTGTATGAAAAAATAATCAAAAATCAATTATATTATAATAAAATAAATTTTACCCACAATAATCATTCTTCAAGCTATCTTCAAAATTTTGGAAATCGCTGTTCATTGCCAGGCAGACTTCATTCCAAGCTTTTTTGCATTCGTTCCGATCCTTGTGCATGGAATATGATTTATCCCAAAGTACTGGATGAGCTTCTATGGCAGCCAAAAGTGACTCCGTGATTATTTCAAAAGATGCCATGATTAACCAACCCTTTAAACTACAACTTTAATTTTAAAATTACAACAATATATAAATTATGGATTAATTTTAGTGTAAACGAAAACACAATATTCACTTGCACGGTTTTTGTAGAGGAATGAGACGCCGGTCCGTCGCCGTACCGACGCCGGCTCGATATACCAAGGGCGAAACAGTGAAGGACAATTATAAAAAAATATAAAGGAATGAGCATATATCAATTTCTATTTGTTCAGAAAGCAATCAATATACAAAAATATAGAAAAATTAAAAAAATATATCAATTTCTATTTGTTCAGAAGCAATCAATATACAAATATATATAAAAATTAAAAAAACTTGTCTTATGAAACAATTAAATTTTTGCACACGTGCATGGTTTTAAAGAAATTTTTGAGTAACTACTTTATTATTATACCTATACCTACAAAATTTTCAATTTATTTTCAAATGAAAGAAAAAAACTTATGCAGTTTAATTTAATTCGTTTGTAATATATTATTCAAGATATTGGGGGCGTCCATTAATCACGTGAGTGAATTTTAAGGATTTTTGAACCCTCCTTCCCCCTTGGTGATATTCAAAATTACCTCCACTCTCCCCCACCAAACATCAAGTGTATTTTTAGGTACGTGAAAAAACTGTAATTTTTTTTATTTTTTTTTAAAGTTTGAACCTTTTTTAAAAAAATAGTAAAAAATAAATACACGTGATATCTTACTATACCCCTCGCTCCTCAACGATATTTTGTGATTTTTGTCAAATCCTTAAAAGCTCACGTGATTTATGAACGCCCCCTATGTATTAAGATATTTGGGCTAATAATATTAATATTTATATAAAATTTAAGTAAAGTTTGTAAAATTTGCTTTTCTTTAATGTTTTCAACTAGCTTTATTTTAAAAATCTATGACAAAATTTAAATTTTTCTACGCAGGTACAATTTTAAAAATATTAACATTTGTTCAAAACGAATTTGTCAATATCACATGAATTTTTTTAATAAAAAAAAATTAATAAATTACCTTTATAAAATTCTTCTATTTTTGAATAAACTCTTCGACCTTCAATGAATGTATAAACTGAAGCTCGGGAGCTTTGCCGGGTCTGAACGAATTCACACGATCACGGTTTTTATAGAACTCTGGGATTCCCAATCTTTGTTTATGTATATAATATATATATATATATATATATATATATATATAACAAAATCAATATAAAAAAATATCTTTAATAGCAACTACTTATTTGCACATAAACACTAAATGCTGAAAGTTGTTTAAACTGCTTTATTAATATATACTTAATTCATTTTATTTTAATAATTATGTAATTATATAAAAATAAAATTCACTAATTCAGTTAATATGTACATTTAAATTTGTAACACCAACATCCTCTTACTTAATAAGTTACAAAAATAAAATTGCACTTCTTATCATTTTAGTATAAAAATATTAAGGTAAAGCAATTAATATTTAAGTGATTTTAAAACACTATTTATTGGTTATATATAAATGTCTCAAAATCGTTTTCCCGTTTTAAAAAAAGAAAAGAAAATTATGTTTGAGTCCGATTTTTCTTCATATTTATAATAAGTTCCAAAACACCCATTTGCAATTCAATGATCTCATCTTCTGTAAGCGAATGCAAGGAAGGCAAAATTCCCCTAAAAAACAAGATGTGCCTGTCGTTTGCAATTTCCAAGAGATTTGAAGGTATAACTGCTCCTTTAGGCTGACCATCTTCTTCCATCTTCCTCTGCAGTATTTTAGCAGTTTGTTCCAATATTTGTCTACTACTATTTCCTTCTTCTAATATTAATTTATTCCTTTTTGGTTCTGGATTATCAGATTCAGCACCATCGTCATCTCCACTATTAGAGCAACTCTTTGATGGAATTTCCACGAAATTCATATCGTCGTTGGCGTATGAGGAATTAGATGAGGAATCTTCAATAATTGGGAAATTCACTGTCTTATTAAAAAATTTCAAATATTTTGCGAATGTGTACGGTTTCATTGTTTTGCAAAACCGTCGCTTTCTTAAGGATCTTAGATAGGAATCTCTGATGTTTGTCCATTTTTTTGGATAAGTCGCGCTGGAAGAAAAAAATTATAACCCCATTGTAAGTATACCCATGCTTATGTTAAATCTTTATATAAAATTTAATTTTATTGTCTTGAAAGGGATCGTTCAAGTATTACGTAAGCAGATTTATTACAATTATTACCCGCCCCCCACCCCCCTTGTCAGCAAAAGTAAGCAAAGCTCTTTGCCTTGTCAACCCAAAATAAGCAAATCAACAACCCCCCGCCCCCCTATAGTGCTTACGTAATACTTGAACGGCCCTAAAGGTTAAACACATAATTTTTCACCCTTTCCACTCGGATGTCGTGGCTCCGGCGACAAAATACGCGTTATTTTTTCAATTCGCGAGTGGAAAGGATTAAATGGCTAATTGATTTAAGCACCTCATACAGACTAACAGATTTTTACTAATACTAATATATTCGTTTTTATTTATTCATGCAATTTTTTAATTATTAGAAAATTGAATTTGATAAGAATGAATATTTTAGAAATAAATTGTTTCGTTTCTCAAATAATCAAAAAAGTGTATAAATGTTAAAAAAACTTCTTTGTTTTTAATAGCTATTACTAATTATGATTTTTAAATTTCTGAACTAAAAATCTTCTGGTTTACTTCATAAAATTATTTATTTCATATTTTAAAAACTTGTTGAACGTCTGGGGATATGCAATGTCGTCTCCTTCTGGACCAGGGTCAAGATGTTTGTTGAGTATTTGATTTGAAAAATGTTTAAGTAAAAAGTAAATTCCTATTAATTAAATAATTGTATAAAAGTATAATAATTCTTACTTCAAACAATAATACTGAGAAAGAGTACATACCATAATCCCAGAATAATGAGTAAATATAAATACATATTTGAAAACATTTTTTTTCAAAAGGAACACTCTTAGATCAGAAATTTAATATCTTTGTATATTAATATTTACATTACAAAAAATATAGTCTTACAAATTGTTCCTTCGATTTCTCATCATACTTTTCATAATCCGCGTTAAGCTTCAGGCAAATTTCATCCCATGCTCTCCTACTTTTATTTCCCGATAAGTGATTTAGGATAAATAGTGATATTTGTAACAGGCATATTTAATAAACTCTATATTAAATTTATTATTTGGAACCCCACATAAATGTTTGTTATTGTGAAGTCTGTACGAGCAGACACACGGCTCGTTGCCAGAGACCGTCGCGACGACGCGTCGGGCCGTTGCCGTTCCGCACATGGCTCAATATCCCAAGGACAGGGCAGCAGAGGTAAGGCGAAGGTCTCGGGAATAATACAAATAGATAGAAAAATATTTGAAATATTAAAAAATAAAAATAAATATAATTCAAAATCGCTGGCACCATCTGGAGAGACATAGCAAAAGATAGAGAGGTATGGGCATCTTTGGAAAAGGCCTATATCCAATCCGGAGTTCTGACCGACTAACTTTATACATCATGTAATATGTACATATTACTTAATACAACATATTCTGTATATACACGTTTATGTTATTTTTTTATAAGTAAAACTTCTTTAGGCGCGACTAGAGTGTAAGTTCGTACAAATGCTAAGATAAGATATTCGTACAAAGATAAGAGTCGAGTGCCAATGATTCGTCATTCGCTCTCGATGATATCATTTCTATACGGGTCGATTGTGATCAGTCGTCGTGTATGTGAATAAAGATCTGTCGTTGTATGCGTACCGGCATAAACGTTGTATGCGTACCGATATCAACAAGGAAATCGGCATAGATAAATACACATTTTAAAGTTACATCGTAGTTCAAATCTTGATTTAATGAAAAATGCCTGAATCAGAAGAATATTTTACCCTGTTCCTTAGAAATTATTTCTATATTATTCATAGTTTCTATAAATCTTTGAAGTTATTAAAATGAAAAATATTTTTTGAGCAAGACACATATTACAGCTGTTCAAAGAATGAGATTATATCGCGAAAAAGTAAAAAAAAATACAAGCAGTCAATGAATGTATGTTAATTTTAATTACATGAAGTTCTTCAAACATGATGAGTAAAGTTGCAAAAACAATATTTGTTTAGGCGTTGTTTAACATAATCCACTGTGTGAACGAGTATTATAGAAGTTATTAATCAGCAATTAGTTCATTTCTCTAAAGAAGGTTCATTTCCCAATGCTAATTACAATGACAAACCAATCGTGTCATGTTTGAAGTATGACTTCAATTACATTATTGTTTTTAAATATCATACATATTTTTAATGCTATTATAAATATATAATTTATAATTTATCATTATATAAATGTGTATAATGGTTGACACTAATAAATGTGTGCATCACGAGTGCTACCATATTACTAATAAACATTATTCAAAATTGTTATATGATGTATTTATTTTTACTGAAATGCCATCTTGTACAGTAGCAAATAAGTTTTACTTCAATCGCGTGTGAATCTTACGCGCACTCTTTTTTTATTCAAAAGGCAAGAAATAAATTCAGAATCCTCACAAGTTTATTTTTAATTGTAATTTTTACAATTACTACCTAGACTCGATCCGAGTACCTAACTCATTCAAGTAGGGCCTGCTACTATTGCGACCATACTGCTGCATTATAAATTTAATAATCACGTATTAAATTTGTTTTTTTTCTATATCTGCAGCATTTCAATTTCATGTTTATATTTTTTCATTTTATTTCATATTTTATTTTATTTTTCCTGGTAGGAAAATCCATGGCCTTCACCGCCAATACGAATGGAACGAGCTCTGCCGGATTCCTACGAATTGGAACGTCACGGCTCGGTTTTGTGTCGTCCACTGCTCCCGCAAAATTGTACGATCAGCATTTTTAAAAAATGATGATATTGGTTCCCAAACCAGGAATAAATCATCCAAAGTCGAATAAAAACACTCACTAACTAAT